TTTTCTCACTGGATACTGAATGTAATGAGTTGAAATCTTTAGGGAATTCAATTCTAGCCTCTAGGTCCATGGTGTGAACTTTTGAGCAATTTTGGTGAAGTTGGATTTTTGGGACAAAAACTGACTTTTTCGATGATGCCGGCTATGGAAAACGTTGAAGTTTTGGGGGTATTTTGTGAAAAATCTAAATGTTTTCTTTTCTCACTGGATACTGAATGTAAAGATTTGAACTCTTCAAGGAATTCAATTCTGGCCTCTAGGCACCTCGTGTGAACTTGTGATTAATTTTGGTGAATTGGATTTTTGGGTCAAAAACTGACTTTTTTGATGATGCCGGCTATGGAAAACGTTGAAATTTTGGGGGCATTTTGCAAAAAAATCTAAATGTTTTTTTTCTCACTGGATACTGAATGTAATGAGTTGAACTCTTAGGGAATTCAATTCTGGCCTCTAGGCCCATGGTGTGAACTTTTGAGCAATTTTGGTGAAGTTGGATTTTTGGGTCAAAAACTGACTTTTTCGATGATGCCGGCTATGGAAAACGTTGAAGTTTTGGGGCATTTTGCAAAAAAATCTAAATGTTTTCTTTTCTCACTGGATACTGAATGTAATGAGTTTAAATCTTTAGGGAATTCAATTCTGGCCTCTAGGCCCTGGTGTGAACTTTTGAGCAATTTTGGTGAAGTTGGATTTTTGGGTCAAAAACTGACTTTTTCGATGATGCTGGCTATGGAAAACGTTGAAGTTTTGGGGGCATTTTGTGAAAAATCCAAATGTTTTCTTTTCTCACTGGATACTGAATGTAATGAGTTGCACTCTTCAGGGAATTAAATTCTGGCCTCTAGGCTCCTCGTGTGAACTTTTGAGCAATTTTGGTGAAGTTGAATTTTTGGGTGAAAAACTGACTTTTTCCATGATGCCGGCTATGGAAAACGTTGAAGTTTTGGGGCATTTTGTGAAAAATCTAAATGTTTTCTTTTCTCACTGGATACTGAATGTAATGAGTTAAACTTTTCAGGGAATTCAAGTCTGGCCTCTAGGCACCTCGTGTGAACTTTTGAGCAATTTGGTGAAGTTGGATTTTTGGGTCAAAAAGTGACTTTTTCGATGATGCCGGCTATGGAAAACATTGAAGTTTTGGGGTGCATTTTGTGAAAAATCTAAATGTTTTCTTTTCTCACTGGATACTGAATGTAATGAGTTGCACTCTTCAGGGAATTCAATTTGGCCTCTAGGCACCTCGTGTGAACTTTTGAGCAATTTTGGCGAAGTTGGATTTTTGGGTCAAAAACTGACTTTTTCGATGATGCCGGCTATGGAAAACGTTGAAGTTTTGGGGCATTTTGTAAAAAATCTAAATGTTTTTTTTCTCACTGGATACTGAATGTAATGCGTTGAACTCTTCAGGGAATTCGATTCTGGCCTCTATGCTACTCGTGTAAACTTTTGAGCAATTTTGGTGAAGTTGAATTTTTGGGTCAAAAACTGACTATTTCGATGATGCCGGCTATGGAAAACGTTGAAGTTTTGGGGCATTTTGTAAAAAATCTAAATGTTTACTTATCTCACTGGATACTGAATGTAATGAGTTGAACTCTTCAGGGAATTCAATTCTGGCCTCTAGTCACCTGGTGTGAATTTTTGAGCAATTTTGGTGAGGTTGGATTTTTGGGTGAAAAACTGACTTTTTCGATGATGCCGGCTATGGAAAACGTTGAAATTTTGGGGGCATTTTGTAAAAAATCTAAATGTTTTCTTTTCTCGCTGGATACTGAATGTAATGAGTTGAATTCTTTAGGGAATTCAATCTGGCCTCTAGGCCCATGGTGTGAACTTTTGAGCAATTTTGGTGAAGTTGAATTTTTGGGCCAAAAACTGACTATTTCGATGATGCCGGCTATGGAAAACGTTGAAGTTTTGGGGCATTTTGTAAAAAATCTAAATGTTTTCTTTTCTCACTGGATACTGAATGTAATGAGTTGAAATCTTTAGGGAATTCAATTCTGGCCTTTAGGCCCATGGTGTGAACTTTTGAGCAATTTTGGTGAAGTTGGATTTTTGGGTCAAAAACTGACTTTTTCGATGATGCCGGCTATGGAAAACGTTGAAGTTTTGGGGGCATTTTGTAAAAAATCTAAATGTTTTCTTTTCTCACTGGATACTACATGTAATGAGTTGAACTCTTCAGGGAATTCAATTCTGGCCTCTAGGCACCTCGTGTGAACTTTTGAGCAATTTTGGTGAAGTTGGATTTTTGGGTCAAAAACTGACCTTTTCGATGATGCCGGCTATGGAAAACGTTGAAGTTTTGGGGGCATTTTGTAAAAAATCTAAATGTTTACTTATCACACTGGATACTTAATGTAATGAGTTGAACTCTTCAGGGAATTCGATGCTGGCCTCTAGGCACCTGGTGTGAATTTTTGAGCAATTTTGGTGAAGTTGGATTTTTGGGTAAAAAATTGACTTTTTCGATGATGCCGGCTATGGAAAACGTTGAAGTTTTGGGGGCATTTTGTAAAAAATCTAAATGTTTTCTTTTCTCACTGGATACTGAATGTAATGAGTTGAAATCTTTAGGGAATTCAATGCTAGCCTCTAGGCCCATGGTGTGAACTTTTGAGCAATTTTGGTGAAGTTGGATTTTTGGGACAAAAACTGACTTTTTCGATGATGCCGGCTATGGAAAACGTTGAAGTTTTGGGGGGTATTTTGTGAAAAATCTAAATGTTTTCTTTTCTCACTGGATACTGAATGTAATGAGTTGAACTCTTCAGGGAATTCAAGTCTGGCCTCTAGGCCCATGGTGTCAACTTTTTAGCAATTTTGGTGAAGTTGGATTTTTGGGTCAAAAACTGACTTTTTCGATGATGCCGGCTATGGAAAACGTTGAAGTTTTGGGGGCATTTTGTAAAAATCTAAATGTTTTCTTTTCTCACTGGATACTGAATGTAATGAGTTGAAATCTTTAGGGAATTCAATTCTGGCCTCTAGGCACCTCGTGTGAACTTGTGAGTAATTTTGGTGAAGTTGGATTTTTGGGTCAAAAACTGACTTTTTTGATGATGTCGGCTATGGAAAACGTTGAAGTTTTGGGGGCATTTTGCAAAAAATCTAAATGTTTTCTTTTCTCACTGGATACTACATGTAATGAGTTGAACTCTTCAGGGAATTCAATTCTGGCCTATAGGCACCTCGTGTGATTTTTGGGTATTTCTAAATGATTTGGTAGTTTTATTTTTTGATGTTTGCAAATGTTGTATTTTCCCCTTAACTCCCTAGGGGGTGTGCAAAATAGTATTGAATTTGGAGGATTCAGGACTGTTCGGGTTAGTGTTGCAGCTATGCTTTATACTGAATTAAAATACTATTGAAAATGCCATCGATGTGATCGTACGGGATGGAGGATTTTGAACACCAACCACAAGGAAGTTTGGCGAGCATATAATTGTTGGACTGCTTTGTCCACTGAGATGAAGACCGCTGACATTGATATTGCTTACATAGAGAACACATGGAAATATCTCAGTCACCACAGGATCTAGTGTGTTTGGAAAATACATAACTTGGAATATCCGAGAAGTATTGATCGGTAAGTTTCTGGCAGTCAATTTGATTAATCAGTTACTTATCCATTCTCTATAATTGTCAACCGGTAAAAAAAACACCCAACATTTGTGCTTTCTCCCTGGATCCTGACTGTATTGAGCTGAAATGTTCCGGGAATTCATTCCTGGTATCTATGCGCCTTGTGTGAAAGTTTGACTTCATTTCGTGAAGTTTGATTTTTGGGCCGAAAATTTATAGTTTTTATGACCACGGATATGGAAAATATTTCAGATTTGGGACACTTGGTAAAACACGTAAAATGCACTTGCCCCCCCCCCCCCCTGAGAAGTCCCCCCCCCCCCAAGAAAGAACAAGATGTGACGTTACACTACTCATTTCATGGACATTTAACAAAATGGGCGTCTGCAGGGGGTGTCAGTGGGGTAGGGCGGGTAAATGTCCCCGCTCACCCTCGAAAACATGATAAATTGAGAATATGCTAGAGAAAGTACAAGAATTATTTGGGCGGGGGGAAATGTGCTTTGCTCCCCCCCCCCCCCCCTAAAAAAATCATGGCGACGCCCATGTGGGGTTTCTTTCTGAAATGACATCACACTTTTGCTCACAAATATGGAGATTCGCATTAGCATCAAAACTAAAAAGGCACCAAAAATGCCCTTAAAAATAGCAAAATGAAAGTACGATCTGTGCAATTTTAAGGATTGCATTAAAAAAAAATTACACCACAATGTCAATGCTACTTTTTAAATGCTCTTTTAATGTAATATCTTGGCAAAATGGACAGCATGCGTATGTGGCCTCAATATGCACTCCATTTCATTAATGAGATTAATCATCAACTACATGTAAATAAGAGACAAGATCACGACGACAACAATAAGTATGCCCAAGTTACAGCTTTAGTGATTATACGGATAATATAACACACACAACGGTCCATATGTCCTTTGTTTCCGACACTTCTTTGCTATACAAATTCAGTTTTTGAAACCACTTGTTTGCTGAACTGGCATCAGTTTACAGGATTTCTTAAAAACGATAACTTTAATTATCCTAAAGTTGATCTTCATAATTCCGTCTGGAAAGTCCAATAGTTCAATTCCGTTAAAGTTCCAATATAAGGCCAAGTGAAAAAAACAAACATGTTAAGCGTCCGGGCCTGCTTCCTTTTTTAGAGGCCGCCTCTTTTTTTCTTTTTCTTGAAACGAAAAAATGATAAATTTTAAACAGTGACATCATTTTGGCCTCTTTGTCTGTTGCATCTATAGCCCATATAAAGCTAGAAGGCCTATGTCATTCCTGAGTCCAAGTGACGACCATTTAAAAAAAAAAACTGGCGGCCATCTTGAAAAATAGCCCGGTCGGGCGATCATTTTGAAGGGAAAAAAGGGCCTCCTTCTTTTTCTCAAAAAGGCAGGACGCTAAATATGTTTTTTTTTATTTGGCCTAATCTCGAACAATACTAATTCTGAGTATAACATTTATATATTTTTTGAAAGATAGAAATTGGTTTGGCATATTCTGCTTATGAAGTAGATGTTTCTTTCAAGTAACACTCCATGATATGCTGGTTAAAACATAAGTGAGTTGATAACATTACAAGCGCTATAAAAACATCAGATTTTACCCAACAAATTAATATGAAATGAGTCTAATAGAAACGTCAGAGGTTTCAAAATGTTTAAGAGTAGCAGGCAGATGTCCGGATGAAAGTTGGCGGCAGTGAGTCCCAGCCACTAATGGCGTGGGGTCCGGGGCCCGCCAAGGGCCTGTAAAATTTCGGATTGTAGATGCTCTCTGGTGCAATCTAGGCATTTCCTGGCATCTGAGACTAGGGTTTCAAAGGTCCTACTATTAAAGACATTTCTGTTTATTTTTTTTAATATAAACGAGATTCTGGCTCTTCATAACAACACTCAGGTATCCTGAGGTCACTTTGGTGGTCGCGTCAAAAATCCCCTCTCAAAAATGGACATGTTTTATTATTCTATATTTAACCCAAATACTTTTTTTTTTTAACCGTGCCATAGCCATCAATGTGTTAAGTACTCCTTAGATTTTTTCCCGTCTATATTCGGCTTGTATCTTATTTTAGCCAGCAACATTCGGCCTGAGTAATACAGACACGTTTCTCTACAGCGGTGTTTCCTTGTAATCCACCTGCAGATTGTAGCTCTGGGTGCCTCTGAACGTTCCCACCTCCCTCCAGCGTCTGGTGCCCTTCTGTAGGAGGGCCGAGAAGGGCACGTCAATCTTACCCTGCTGGATGTTGACCTGCGTAGGGTACCAGACAACAAAATCAAATTAACCCTCCTATACAAACATACATTCTGTGCCCAGTTGTCGTTGCAGTCGAAATCAATCAAGTGACTGTTTTCAACCGTAAAAAGCAGGATTGACTGGCTTTGTCTGTTTATGTGACTTCACGCAGCTATGCTATGATTGTATAGGTGATTAAGCCAGCTGTGCCTACCACTTGCCTGTTTTTTTTTCTGTTGATTGAATTTGACTAGTAACAGTGCTTGCTTGAAATATGATCTGACTGTTGGTGACTATAGCCGGTGTAAAAGGCATGGCAGGGGAAGAGAATTGATTTTTTGACTGTCTGTGACTGTTCAGACAGCAGGAGGGTTAATAGTGACGAGAACGAAACCTCTTTTCCTTGGAGAACTTTGCCGATAAATAATAGTGGAACTTCGGCAAATTTGTCCAAAGGACAAAGTAAACCTTGTCAGTCTTCTGCCACGGAACTTCTTTATTTAAACTGGCACTGAAACCAAGGGTCCCAGTGCTCTCTTTTTGTTGAGAGTATTAAAAAAAAGTCCTCAATTCTTTCGATGGCTTAGCACTATTGGCCAATTGGAAATTCTTCTTTAACCTCCCTAGTTAATTGTTTGAAAATATAATTATTTTTTTTGGCCTTAAGGTACTTCACCTGCACGCGCAGCATGGTCTTAGCTTTGACGGTGGCCGGCAGGTTGAAGGCCCACTCATCCGACTGGGTGTTCTCCTCGCCCCGGTTCTCGCCAATAGAGAAGGTGTTCTCGACGCTCACCGTGATTTCCCCCTCAGCGATGACGGGCACGCCGGTCTTGAAGGTGGTTGACACGCTGACGGCCGTGCTGTTCTCCCAGTGCCACTCGTAAGTCTTGGTGGTGGTCACAGTGCGCTTGGTAGACCACGAGGCCTGCTGATCCGAGCTGGAGTCATTCCGCTGGGACAGGTTGACCAGGGCCACCGGGGTGGAGTTGAGCAGGCCCGCAGCGATGTCGAACTCCATGCTCAGGACCTCGGTGGGAAAGAACGGCTGTAAAAAAAAAGGAACCAGCACTACGGTGTAACAAACGTCCAATTTGGAAGGGAAACTTGAGGGAGCACTCAATATCAAATTGTCCGACCGCTGTAGGACAGTGCAATTTTAAACAGTGTCATGTTGTGTTCAGCAAGCCCCCCACGCCTTTTCATATTTGCACGGCCGGGCACATTTTTATCTAAGTCACTCCCCACCCCCACCCCACCCCACCCCAGTCCCCGGCACAGATTAGCCACTGAATTCCTAGCTCCCTTGGACAAAAAAAGTTCGCATTCACATATATAATGTTATGGCAAGAAAGATCTAACCCAAACATCATGTCTTCACCTCATAAAGTCATATAGTACCTTTCCATTGCTTTAATTTTTTATAGAGAATGAACCTACTTCCTTGATTGGTCGGAGTGAGGAGATCTGATCATTGGCACCGCGCCAATTGTCCCAGTGTGGGTAGGAGCCCTCTGTCACGACGTACTGCCTGCCTCCGTAGTTGCTGTGTTCGTACAAGATCCATCTGTACATATACAAAAACAAAGGCATGTTGAAAGACTGGTCTCTTTTATAAAGGTAAGATTTTGTTTTCAACTTCTAGAAATTCAAATGGAAGAAAACGTCATTGAGACTTGGAAGAATGCCAATACAATGCAGAAATATCAGTTTATTAGTTAATATGTATTTAATTATCAGCAAATTCGCATTAAAACTAATTTCTACCACGGTTCATGTCATTAGGGTGGCATGGGTGGCTAGCGCGTAAAGCGCTCGCCTCTCACCACTGTGGCCAGCTGGTTCGATTTCCGGCTTCTGGGAAGATGTAAACTGAGTGAATTTTGTGATTTTTTGTATTTAGTTTTTAAGATACAGACTTGAAGCAATTCCGACTTAAGTCAAGTCTAGGGCTCCACTTGCGGTCGTGGGAATAATGTCTTAGGATCAGAAGAATGACAGTTGAACATTATTTTCTTATAAACTTTTTGCTCACATTCCGCTCTTGACTTTGAGAGAGGAAGCTTCGTCATTGAAGTTGTAGTATTTCAAGTTGTCAATTCCATAGGTGAAAGTCGCAGCCCTGCCACCGTAGTTGGTGTGTTGGTACAGAACTATCTGCGGCGAGTCCCCGATGTCCTGTATTTATACAGATAGAGATAACGAAATGGCGTAATGATGAGATGCTCTTGGTGCGCCAAAGGCATGTTGGGTGCAGTGGTGACGTAAACGGTCCACAGGAGACCATATTATGAATGTCTTTCATAATAAAGGCCTAATAAAAAAAGGCCTTGTTTAGCGAAAAACTATGATTTTCAAAGTGCTCCACAATTGAAGAGCTTATTTGCAAAACGGCTGCTTGGTACTTGGTTGGTTCTTCTCTTGAGGACTCCGCAGGGAAGTTTGAACTACGGCTTTAAGTGTCCACCCGGGCTCGACACCTACGCCACTGTTGCCTCTGAAACACCAGAACATCGGTGCGGTGCTCTTGACCGCTAGGCCATGACACTTCACTTTAACAGGAGGCTTACATCCACTTCTTATAGATACTGACTTAGCACCATCAACGCAAAGTAATTGACCATGCATTCTCAGGAATTTCACTTTTTTTTCTCAAAATTAGCCAAGGTGGATGTAAGAGCCGTTTTGCGTAAATACGCTCTTCAATTATTAAATAGAATAAGGAATGAAAATCAAAAGGAAAACCTTAAAATATGACCTTTTTATTTCTAAAAAAAAAATTGTTAAAATGTAAAACTACGAGACAAATACAAACTGAAGAAGATTCATTTGCTATTGACTGACTGACGGTCAGTTGCTCTATCCGCTCCGTTCACAAGTACCCCCCTCACCGGCAAAGGAAGTACAGTTGGGGGTGACCGACCGACGCCATCTTGCCTGACTGCAATTCATTTGCTGCGAAGCGCGGCCACTGCGTGTAAATAGAACAAATGCCCTGGTGTACGTGCGTTATGCACAAGGGACGGTGCGCGTCAGCCAGCGAAATGTCCCACCCATGGGACGTCGTTGCTAGGTAAAAGGGCGCCCTTTTTTGTTGGCGCACGGAGCTCATAAGCCTATTACCATGCCCGCGCATAAAATCATGATACGACTCTGGATGAGAACCATACAGGCCCTTCACTTGGGGGGGGGGGGGGGGGGGGGCTCACCGGGTTCAGCTTCTTCAGCGAGGAGAGTTGATCATTGGAACCTTTCCAGGCATCCCAGTTTGGGTAATCACCTTCCTCCAAGATGTACTGGCGACCGTTGTAGTTGGTGTGTTCATAGCCAACCCACCTGCGTGCAACAATCAGTATGATTTGTTTTACATGACTGTATATGATAACCTCGTTACAAACGCTTGTAGCTTAAAAAGTGCGTTTCGGGGGAGAAAAGTTTGAATGATCGAAATCAAATCGTTTCTGAAGTGGCCTAACTAGGGTGAAACTTCTGGGTTGCACCTGGGATTGCACACATTTTTCAAAGGGGGCAATCGAGGCACATTTCAACAGTGCTCTGTATATTTGGTTGAATTCATGTTTGTAAATTGGGGGGGGGGGGGGTTCACCCTAGGGATCGGACATTCGGCGGGGTGGGGGCACGTGCTGTTGCCCCCTCCTTTTCACACAAATGAGTAAATGTTCGCAGGGTCAGACATTCGGCAGGGGGGGGGGGGGGGGGCACGTGCTGATGTTCGTAGGGCGATTCAGCGGGGTGGGGGCATGTGCTGTTGCCCCCCTCCTTTTCACACAGTTAGACGAGTTCGCAGGGTTGGACATTCGGCGGGGGGTGAAGGGGGTGTTTTCCCCGTGGTATTTCCACACAGGTAGATGAGTAGATGTTCGCACAAACTATCTGCGAAATTCATTTCATTACTCCCTTTAAAATTAGGGAATCATTCGTTGTTCAACAGAGCCTGCGAGCTCCACAACAACGTCTTATATGAACATGCAAATTTTACACATGACCCCGGCTGTCACCCAATCACAGACGACTTTACAAATTGTGACGTCATTTTGACCAGAAATTAGACCTAACCTGTTGATTGGTCAATTGGCTGCCATGTTTTTGTAATACAACAACGGGCTACCGAAGACCTAGTAGAAGGCGCTTGTTGAATTGTCAGAATCTGGCAGTCTTGTGTTGCATATCATCAATGGCCGAATCTGCACATGTATCATTCACACTTGCTTTGCAAGCGGCTATTCCAGTGACTACTTTAAAATTGGAGCAGTTCCGTACATTAAAATTGGAGTCATTCCCACTGGTAATTTTGAAAAATACTTACACGCTCCCAACAACTTTGATCGACGACACTCGGTCGTTGAAGCCGATGGAACTCAGTTCGCTCATGTCTCCTGTAACATCTCGGGATGCTCCCCCGAAGTTCGAATCCTGGTAAAGGGTGATCTAAGAAACAAAACAATACCTCAGTTGGTTAAAAAGTCTGAGTTAGTGTATCGCATTCAGCAGTGTCATAACTTCTTGTGGGCACGTGTGGTCTAGCGGAAGGGCACAGGATTCATGATCGTAACATTGTGGGTTCAAGCCCCGCTTTACCTCAATAACTCCTCTTCACCCTGGTGTTAAATGGGTACCGGCATTATTCAATGCTGGGAAGGTAACAGACTCGCTGTGGAGGAGGTGTGGTGATCCCCCCCCCCCCCCCCCCAACAGCAGCATTTCATGGATTCGAGTCTGGCCCAATCGCTTCGAAAGAGAGATGGGCACTCCGTTCCTGTGAACATAGGTTCGGGACTTCGTTCTCCTTCTTTTGTTGTTTGTTCAATGTTTTGTTTTTAGAAAATGTTTAAGTGAAAAGCGTGATACACACGTTGGCTACTTTTAGTTTGAAGAGAGGAGGGAATCAAATCAACTAAAAGTCTTGTACACAGTCATTAACAACATTCACCCAGCAGCACTGGGTGAATGTTGTTAATGTGTGGCATAGTGGTTAGGGTTTTCGTGAATGATCAGAGAGTGATCACACGTTGTGTCCTCGAGCAAGCCCCTTTATCCACACTTGCGTCTAGCTGAACACCCAGTAAAAATTGGTACTGGCATTGGTTGAAGAGTAACCTTCGATGGACTGGCATCCCATCCCGGGGAAAAATAGACATTTCCAGTCGTTTCATGCCACTGAAACCGGAGATAAACGCCGGTTAGATGGGCCACATAGCCTCGTACATGACAGACTTGACTTTGCATTTGTCTTACCTTTGCCGTCATTTTTGCTGAGATTCAAGCTGATAAGCTGCAGAGAAAGAAGAAAAGACGATGAATAAGTTTTAAACGTGATTAATTTCAAAGACATGAAACGAAATTCGCATCCAAGGCCAACGCACGTACATTCGGAAGTCGGGGGGGGGGGGGGGGGGGTCACCGTTAAACTAAAATCCCGTGAAGACAGAATCAGTCTATTTCGACAAAGTTTTTTCGTCACCTCGGCAATAGTTTCTGAGTGAATGTGAACGATTAGGTCTATAAATTAATTATCAGTTTGAAACTAAATGTGTGACGTTGTTATTTTCGACTCAATGTATTTGTTGACCCAATAGTTTTTCTTCAAGTCAATCATACCGAAATTTTATTGCATGAATGAAACAACTGCGAACGGGCAAGTTTCAAAATTATAGTTAGTACTGTATAAGGGTCCCTAAAAACAAAACAAGAACGATATATTGTAGGAATCAAATTAATCAATCGGTCCCAGGTTTCTAGAAATAATTTTTTTTTTAAATGAATATAATAGATGGGCACACGTATAAGCCCACACCTCGTGCATGCAATTAAAACGAAAGAAGAAAATATCACGTATGACCTTTGATAAATGAGATTGAACATTGAGAAGTAGGCCTACAGGAAAGCCGAATTCCGATTCCGACAAAAACAAGTTCCGACACGAGGCACCCACCACTAACTTAATTGGGGAATTCTTCACCGTATGACTATATCAGCCCACTAATGCAAACGTGTATGGACGAGTGGAAGCGATGAGTTGTGTAAAGCCGGCGAAATTGGGGGAAGGAGAAGTGAAAGTCCTGACTGCATGCGCGCAGCAGACCAAAATGTTATCAAAGACAACAACTCACCTCAGGATCAACAACCAGAACATCAATCGAGTGTCTCTAGAAAGTGAAGGTGCGGAGTGATGCTAAGCGGTCCGCGCTCTCCCTTTTAAAGGCTCTTGACAGCCTCCCTGCACAGTGACACCTGTTTCCTCATCCGTGTGTTACGTTTCATCGGAAAACAAACATACCTTGACCGATGCCAGATATCCTATTGTACTTATGTTTGACTTGTTGGTGCCTCGCGTCGCATCAGCATTTCCTCAACCAGAGCATTTCCTCAACCAGAACATTTCCTCAACCAGAGCAATGTCATCAGGCCAAGGCAGCACGAATACAGATAATAATTTGCGGGAACAATATATCAGTAGCCTTAACTCTTTAACATTTTGAAGGCCACTTTGCTTTGGGGTAAAACGGGAGACACGAGTTAAACCTGTATACAGGGTGGGTACCAAAAAAAACCCACCGCATCCCAAATGGCAGGACCAATTGAGTGAAAGTTTTGCTTGTAGCACTTTCGAAATCTAGGATAAGAAAGCCCAATCAATGAGCTTTTTTAGTGCAAGAATCATTCAATTTACTTATGTACTTTTCAAGTTATGGCATTTTGAACACAAACACCGTCTTATTAAGTTCGTTCCACGTATCACAAAAAATTACACAGTGTGTCATGAAAAGAATGGTGCATGTAAACCCCGCCATTTTCGTCAATTTACAACCGGAATTTACTGCAAATCTTCAAGGTTACAGATTTAGCTTGAGGATACCGTTAATAAGATTGCTTTTGTTAATCCAGAGATATGTTTGAATAACCGCAAAGCTGAAAAAAAAACATTCTGCGCCACTTTTAAGAAGCAAGCGCTTAAAAAAAAGATCAGACAATGCCAGTATGGCTCTCTTGATAAGATTATCCCCATGGATGTAAGATAAACATTCCATTCACACGACAATTAAGGGTTTTGTTGTTATGTTGAAACAGTTTAATAGTACAGACAGGTTCACTCTCCTTAAAAATGTTAAAATCACTAACAGTAACGTGATTTGCTTTTAGACTAGGACTATATGTATATTGGTTTTACTGCTTCACAGAAAGTGGCACAAAATGGGTTTCTTGGCTTTGCGGTTATTCAAACATAATCTTTGGATTTACAAAAGCGATTTCAATGAAACAAACGGTATTCTCAAGCTTAATCTATTACCTTGAAGATGGTGTAAACATCCGGAGAACATTTTGGTTGTAAATTAGCAAAAATGGAGGGGTTTACTTGCACCATTTTTTTCCCAGGACGCTCTGTAGTGTTCTTTCAGCAAAACGGAAACAATTCTCATAGGGATGCATGTGAATGATTCTTGTACTGAAAGAAAGCTTAATGACTTGGCTTTCATATCCTAGATTTTGAAAGTGTTACAGGCAAAACCTCATTCAAGTATTAGTCGTGCTATTTGGGTTGTTTTTTAAAGGTTTTTTTTTAGCCTTACCCTAGTTTCAAATCTTTGAACTCGGTCCCTATTGTCTGATGGTACAAGACTTAGTGAAAGTCATTTGAAATTGTGCTTGCATTACGGTTTCAATATCAACTTGTGCGCGCGCGCACGCGTACATCAATGACCGTCAACGTGAGCCTGTCCTTCATGGCAACCGCTAGTTTTCTTTGATAACCTCGGTTGAAAACAGGTCATATTTCCGCTATAAAAAAAAGGTGTCCTCACTCGTTTCCTGGAAAGAACCTGTTGACTGTATTTTGACCTGTCTTGCCCAGAATGAACCTGTTTGTCAGGTCTAATCTGTGCAATGTTTTCATTGTTTCATTTTGATGGAACAGTCGCGAAACAAAGTGGCTCTTGCAAGTTTTCACTACTTTACTTGACTTTTAAGCCCCTCGCGTTGTGCCCGCCGCACACGAGAGCTATAGGTGCTGAGCAAGAAGTAATTCGAGGCCGTTTGTTCAGCACCTTGCTCAGAAACACGTGGCGGTCCCATTTCGCTGAGTTTTCTGCCTCGCGAGGCTGTGAGGCAAATATTTGTCCTGTTTAATTTCTTTCGCCTCGCGAGGCGAAAAACTCACCGTTTGCGGGCAACCGTGGCTACGTACCGTGCTGAGTCCCCAGAAAGTTACTAGCCAATGAAAGCACATACTCTGTTAGTTCGAGGTTGCCGAAGTCACATTTGAGGGCATGTCTGTGTTCCTGTGTTCCTGGTTTTTTTTACTTTCATTGTTACCGAATTTAAAGAAGACACCAATTCCCTCAGTGAGGGCGCACCTTGCCTTGCCGTCATTCCGATTCTTCCTTGTACCGTTTGTCTGGACCACGGAATTATAAGCTCCGTTGGCGTTTCCCAAGCTAACAGAGCTTCCTGTATGATTGTCCTGGGTTCATTGGGCCACGGATCCTACAAACAACAACGACGTGGCCAAACTCCTGGTTAGACGCGCGATAACGGCCCGTACTGGTGGCAAATACCATGAATACTTGTCAACAAAGACCCCTGGGTGCGGAGGATTCTGTCAAGCCAGCTAACTATAGGCCTACTTTTGAATATCCATGAGTCTACGTTTTTGGTCTTTATTATTGAACTCTGATAAGTGATAACTGCATAACCGAGCACAATATCTTAAGCTTTAAAATGAACAATGAAATGTCGCTTTTGTTTCATCGGTTCGGAACAATAAAATGTCGCTTTTGTTTCATCGGTTCGGGATCACATCTGTCTAAAACCTCTTAATAAAATCCTAATTATAAACGAAATGTGGGTAAACTGTGTTCTCGAAATTTGACGTTTATTTTCCGGGTAAATACTTCATCTATGACGACAAAAAGTGCACAGTACCATCTGTTATATCCTGAAGTATTTTATCGTTCAACAATTTTGAAAGAATTATGTCCTACATTAGGAGTAGTTTTGCATACAGTTTTATGAATATTTCCGTTTAAGATGTCAAGCAAAACAAAACTGACACAATGGCACTCCTGGAAAATTCGCGATTACGCGCCAACGGGTATTAATGCCCGTTATCACGCGTCTAACCAATTAAGGCAAGTCCGCTCAGTGCATTTTGTACTGGAGCTCAGAACAGTCGCTTATCCTTCTGTGTAGGATCCGTGATTGGGCATTGTTATCCAATAATTTAGGTATAAGAATCAGCCGATCTTCTACTTGTTTTCACTTGACGTTGATATTCAATTTTGATTAACATGCTCACTCCCTGCAGCCGATTTCGGAAATTTGGATCCCAATTTTGGCAAAACGTGAACAATATCTCTCGGATTTTGGAAGCATAGTTCCACCGCCTTCAGTTTTATTTAAAATTGAGCTCAGTGGTTGCAAGTGTTAAAAGATAAGAAAGAAATTCAACACCCGGATGTTGTGTTCCAATCAATATTAATGCCGGTTTATTTCTTATGCAACCTACTTGAAAGTACATTTGTTGTTATTCTTAAAAATCGAGATATATCGCCAAATCTGCACTATAATAGTAGTTCTGATTAAAATGCTATAACTGAAATGATAATTGTTCGAGACTCTGATTCCTCTTCGTGAATAACGTCTTCATTTGTTTTGTATTTCTTTACCAAGGGTATGATATCCGTCATGGCCTTTCATTCCAAAGTTTTAAATATAATTTAAACATAAGTAACAATCACCCAAGAAAAGTGGTGCAGGATAGGATAAACTATAATTTGCTAAAACATAGGTGAGGTGAACACAAAACTTACATTTGATTTAAGTACAGATTTAAAGAATTCGCTGATTATACGGGATGGGCGAAAACCCCGCGAAAACCATTTGGGGGAAAAAAAGACGGGGAAATTCCCATCCGGCTCCAGCTTTCCATGGCAACCAAGTTAGTCAACTCCTTAATCAGCACACTTTTGATATTATTGATTTCTTATACATGAAAAGAATTGTTATACATGTACTGACACAAAGTTTCAATATTGTTCAGACTTGAATGATGTGAACATAGCTACGGTTCTAATTCGTTGGTTTATACTATAAGTCATTAGTTTCATCTTTCATTTCATAACCAAATTTGAAACCAAAGGGGAGAATAATCGCATTGTCAATGGTGGTTCATCACTTACTGAACTACAGAACGTGTCCTTGGAAGTTTGAAAGAAGGATTGTGTTCTTAACTTGGGCTCAAGAGGGCGCCTTTGGCAGCCCGCCGTATAGGCAGGAGTTTGATATAACCATTATTAAGTTCAAGTTCCTCTCTATGCAGTCCAAAAGATCACGTCCTGCTTTGCCTGCTGCTTTCCTCCTGTCCCTGCATGGTCATGTCCCCTTGTCCCCTGTGGTCTATGGTCATGGTTTTTTAAGGCTATCATGGCAGATTTGGATCAGAACCAGACTAGGTGATTTTCCTATATACAAGGAAGTTTGAAAAGAAATAGATTCGTGTTATAAGCCGTCTTTTAGGCTGAAGCTCCTTACGAAAAATCAGGTTGATTATTTTGCTTTTCAAGCCAAGCTTTTATTTGTGTTTACATTTCTTAACATTAAAATAAGGTTCATCGTTTTGCAGAGAGTGCCTTGGCATCTACCATTGTACATGGCATCCACTCGGGATGTGGTAGTGATAATTATGTGGCCATATATCTTTGGGTAATCTTTATCTTTAGGACACCTCTATTTTTACAAGTTCTGTTCAAAAACTGACTTTTGCAGATGACTGTCCAGTACCAAAGTGACTTTTGCAGGCTAAAACTGTCTTGTTTCTTCAGATAAACTCATGTTAGTTGTAATTTTGAAAGCCCTTTTTAAAAAAGGTGACTTTTCTATATACCTTATTTTGCAGTTCGCCATCTTGCTTTTTTGATATGTTTTCTGTTTGTCATCGTCGTCTTTAACCCCTCATAAATCAAAGCCCTATCATCTTCCTTCAAAATTAAACCTGCTGATATTCAAGAAGGTGCCATTGCCAACTGTTCAAATGTGTCAAAAAATATCAGAATGTCACTTTTGAGTGTAATTTAGTCAGCTCTTTTGGTGAGTCTTTTAACCTGATAGGAACAGGGTCCTAAAGGTAAGGATTACTTATCTTTGGCTCATATCCTTCCCTAGTAAAGGGTGCACACCGGTAAATAGGACAAACTCATCCGCCGAGCTCATGAATAAAAGTGATACCCTCAAAATATTATATATTAGACAGTTCTGAGAGCCATAAAATTAGGGAATTAAAGAGATATGGCAATGAACCTCAGGCCCGGACTTGGGGCTTCCAATTCTGAGCATTTTGGATGCAGTTGGGCTCGACGCGCTCGAAAGTGGCACTATTTTGCCAGGTTGTGGAGGGATCGTTTTTTCAAGATGGCTACTTTTCCGCATTGGGGAAAATAAGGGTCGTCTTCTTTGGGTGAGAATATCTCAAAAAGTCAATGGTCAACTCACCAAACAATGAAACGAAACTGAAAGGTGACATGTTAATCACCATTATTCTGTGCAGCTTAAAAGCCTGTGAGAGTTTTGAGTACTTTTAAAAGAATTTTGAAGTATGGGCATTTAGCTCTAGTGTCTATGGGAATTGTAATATAAGGTTGTACCCTATAAGATGTGTGGACGTTTAGGATCCTGACTCCCTGGAAGGTTGATGTTTGGAATCCCCATGCTCTTCTGTTGCCTCTCTGTTCTGAGTCTGGTGTTGACAGCATCCTCTCCTTACGTCTTCTCCTCGGGATGTAGGTTTGGATAGGATCCTGTCTTCTTTCAGGGATGTGCGTGTGGATAAGGTGTCATCTCACCCTTTGCTGGTTATATAAAAGAAAAGAAAACCCAGGAAGTTTATTGCTGAATTTTATAACACTCGTTGTAGAGCGTGTACGATTATGCAAATCTACTGACACCTGATACGAGGGCCCACTTTCAATCAACGTATACAAACTGTATACGATGATGTTAGCTGTTTAGTGGTTTTGCTTTATTTTTAAAAAAATACTGCTGATTCTTGTTTAATCGTCATCGAAATTCTTTTCAAAATATCAAGTTTGGTCGAAACAATATAAGAAAACCCTTTTCCATCGATGATTAAAAACGTTTAACATAAAAATAACTTAAAGCCTGTTCACAAACCTTAATATTCCTTTTCCCATCCTCAATGTATTTTAACCATATTTCCAATACCCGTATCTAAGCTTATAATCCAAGAATGATAATTTTTTGTGATCATCCCTGTGTGTAATTTACCAACTTTTATCACAGAGTATTTACCCCTGCACTACACTCTATTTGCTGTTTCCAGTTTCAAGTGTTCACTTAGTCTTAACTAAAAATGACCACTATATACAACTTAAATATTATTTTAACCCCCAACCCCCTCCCGCTATATTGTCGTTATTTTTTAGAGATCCGATTTGGTGTATACGTCGTATTGATATTGCAGTTGATTTGCAGATTCTATAGTTAAGCTGATTTGTGTTTTTTTTTCCCACTAAAATTTGAATGGTATTTTGTTCACTTAAATTTGAAAGGTATACATTTTTGTCCCCTATATATTTGAATATAGAATACCTTTATTATAAGTAGAAAATGCATGGCAGAATGATTTTCTAACATTGCTAATTTCCTGATTGTATACATTAAATTTCAAAAACCCTGTAAATCGCACTATTAACAAAAATCTAATCATTACTTTTTCTACTCATTTTCTGTGATGCTAATATTAAACTTGAATAACAGGAACACTCCTGGGGAATAATCCCCCCTTTTTTCCCACGGAATGTCAGTTGTCCTCCCTTGATCTGGGCTCATGTCCTCGATGATCCAGACGTCATTCCAATCCCATCTCTCAATCCCATCATACTGTAAGGTAAAAAAAACGCATTAAATTAAACGCACATGAGTGGGGCAGGTAAGGGGTGGGGGATTGTTTATACTTTGATGATAAATGCAAGGCTGTTGGCACACAGTCCAGAGTATGTCTTTGGGCAGATATTTGGCTATAGACCATTATCATGTTGCGGCCGTTTGTATTTTCCCCATTCAAATCAACGTAACCAAAGCGAGGCTGGAAGAAAAATAGTCTAGTTCCTTTTTGCACAAGAAACATTATCATTCGGTACTGTGATTGGACACAGGGAACATGACTGAAATGGTGGCAGCATGATAAAGGTCTATAGGGCCATCGGAGATTTGTTTTTTGAAAAAATAAAAGAAGAATGACAAGCAATTTTCCAAATTTTCAAAATGATTGCCATTGCTTGTTATTTTATACCTGTACGTTTTTTCAAAGGACAAATCTGCGATGACCCTATAGCCCAATATACAGAAAGAAAGAAAAAAGGCATTTGAATGGAAAAAGGCAGTCTTTACAAAATATTGGGGGGGGGGGGTAAATGCCCCCCTTACCCCCCCCCCCCCCCGGCTACGCCTATGATATATCCTTCTCATTACATACTCTGACTGTGTGCCGAATTCCATGCATCAATCATCAAGTTAACAATCGCATCACCAATCTGACGTACTGTATTATAAGCAGACGTTTGAATAAAGAGAAGCACACTGATCAATAGACCTAAGACATAATGACGTCATGCTTTGTTTACATGTGCGCTTTCATATAGGAACCAGGTAGGGTTGAGAGCCACTCGTCCCCGCATGAATGTGTACATGTAAACAAAGTATGATGTCATCATGTCTTATTTAGGTGTATTAGATTGATTAGATGTATTGGTGATGGTGATTCTTCTGGTGCAGTTGACATCCTATATCCCATGTCACAAAGGGAAATGTTACAATGTAGGTACACGATTCTTTCTAACTACTACATTGTAATCTTTCTAACTACTACATTGTGATAATTATTGTCTTATTCTTTTTTTGGGTAATTACTGAAGGGTTTACCGAGCCAATCTGATGAGGAAGAATATTTATCAGACTTTTCACGATTTGAACTATTTTGCGACATTCACCTTTGGAGTGATCCTCAGTTGCCATATCCCAGTAGAACGATGATCACCTTCATCGACAATAAGTCGCGCGATGATGTTACACCCCCTCCCCCTCACCCCCCCCTCCCCCTTCCCGTGTGGACTGCGTCTCTGCACCGAGTCTTCAGAAGGAGAGAGATCTTTTAGGCTGGCCGCCAAAAGTCGGTCATGGACCACTCATCATGGGCCGCCACTCTTGGTTGACATGAAGAGTGGCGACGTAGGGCACAGAGACAGGACTGATGAGGGTCCACTAGGGCGGCCGGAGATCTCTCTTTAGGAAGACAAGGAGGTACTTGGGGAGAGTCGCTTGACGTTGATGATCCTGCAAAATGAGTTTTCATGGAAAATTTGTTGTTAAATGTCACAATGCACCTGTTCTTTTTCAAAAAATACTACCACTACCAGGAATCCTTTTTTGTATCATGCTACCACAGGATTTACGGAGGGCCATTCAGGGATGAATACATTCCAGGTCTCTTGCTTACCTTTTAGTCCTCCTGTATCCTGTATCTTGGTGAATTCTGATGTTGCTCAATCGTTCTACTGGCGTCGGTCCGGTGTCTTCAGTTACTGCCAGCCCCATGATAGATGACATTTGGAGGCTGGCTTGGCAGGGCAGCTTGGGCAGGGGGCTGGGACTGAACTTGTTTACCGGGCTGGTTTTCCTTTCTTTGACTCGTCCAATCAGTAACGGCCCAGGCTGCTACGGAACGGGCTTCCACACCTGCAGGCAACAGGGTTGGAGCCTAGAGGTGTTGTATCAACTCCAGATATGATGCTGCCACCGGAACTAGAGTCGAGGTGGTGTCGAGCAGGAATGTCACCCTGCTGGTGTACAGTGTGTTTCTGCTCCCAAGTCTTCAGGAGGAGAGCTCTTTAGGATGGTAGTCTGACAGACAACCAACTAGTCGCCAAAAGTCATGGACCACTCATCATGGGCCGCCACTCTTGGTTGGCATGCAGAGTGGCGGCTAGTGCACATGGCAGGCTGATGAGGGTCCATTAGGGCGGCCGGAGATCTCTCTTAGGATTTTAGGATGGTAGTCTGACAGACAACCAGCTGTATGGTCGCCAAAAGTTGGTCATGGACCACTCATCATGGGCCGCCACTCTTGGTTGGCATGCAGAGTGGCGACTAGGGCACAGGGCCAGGACTGATGAGGGTCCATTAGGGCGGTCGGAGATCTCTCTTAGGAAGACTCGGAGGTGCTCGGGGATGATGACTTGACGTGGATGATCCTGCAAATTAGTTTTCATTTCAGATTATTTTTTCTCTTACTACCATTAAAAGAAGATTTAAAGAGCTGATGAATACGCATCAACATATTCGTCTGTTTTTCCTTTGAAGATTTGTTAAAAACTTTCCAGGGATGAATACATCCTGTACACGTATTTATATCGTCTGTTGTTTACCTGTGAGTCCTCCTGTATCCTGTTTCTTGGTGAATTCTGACGTTGCTCAATCGTTCTACTGGCGTCGGTCCGGTGTCTTCAGCCAAGCCAGCCCCATGGCAGATGACGGTTGGAGGCTGGCTTGGCTGGGCAGCTTGGGCAAGGGGCTGGGACTGGACTTGTTGACCGGGCTGGTTTTCCTTTCTTTGACTTGTCCAATCAGTAACGGCCCAGGCTGCTACAGAGCGGGCATCCACACCCGCAGGCAATAGGTTGGAGCCCAGAGATGTTGTATTAACCCCGCGTGGGATGCTGCCACCGGAACTAGAGGTGTTTGTCGAGGAGGTGTCAAGCAAGGGGGTAACCTTGCCAGTGTACCTCCCTGTATACGTGGCCTCTACTGCCTTCCACCTGTCCCCCTCCTTGGTGCTTCCCGCTCCCCTGGTTGCCCCCTTTCCACGATGTTTTGTTGGTCCAGGGATGCCTGAAGTAAGATGGTTGGTCTCCACGTTGGAATTTGTGGAGACCTTTTCAGGCTCAGAGGCACCTGAAGATCTAGGATGAAACAAGATCTTTTTGGATAATGTGGGGCAAGAATGTTCATGTCAATTAATTTTGTCATCTTTTATTTCTAAACTTAAGATGTAAAACAGATTCACACAGAGAGACTAATTTACCCATTTGCAACCTCATAGAAGCCTGGGGGACCTCCGGGTGGCATGGGTGTTCTCGATCCCTTATTCCAAAAATCCCTGAGGTATCCGCAGGCTCGTCGGAAAGGACCACCAAGTCCGCCCTTCTTGGCCAACCCAGAGGGTCTTCTTTTCCCCTCGTTAGCCTTCCCGTCCTCAGTACTGGGAGTTGAGGATTGCCTGCTCTGCTGGTCGTCACCCGGACTTGGGGTTGTTGCTGGACAGCTGGAGGAACCACCACTCTGCTGTGGGCTGTTCGTATAAAAAAAAACCTCATGTTGATTATATTTATAAGACAAGTTAAATTCCTTTATTTATACATGAACCACAAACTGTATGAAATTCTTTTATTTTGCTAACATTTACATGAAATCCATACATTAACCCTAAAAGGGCCGGGGCGGAATCCGCCCCCCCCCCCCCTCAACTTTTTCCGTGATAGCCTTAAAAAAATTTCGCGACCCGAGCTGTTATTACTTTTTCCGGCGCTATGCGCCGTGAAAACTGAATTTCCCCATAATACGTCACAGAATTACCATTTGTAACATGAATAATTAAAGTTAGCCATAATTCCAAAACCCTTTGACCTATAGTCATGAAATTTCGTGGGTATGTTCATGATGAGCTGTTCTATGCATGTACCGAGCTTCAAAAGTTTTCGTCACTTGATGGCCAAGATCTTAAGGTGGGGGGGGGGGGCGGAATCCGCCCCCCCCCCCCCCGGTTGAGAGATGGTCAAAATAACCCTGCTCTTTCAGAGTTAAGAAGAGTCTATTATTGCTAGTTGAGATATACGACTTTTCAAACCAAACTTAGAGAGGTAGGGATCATTAGTAATCTACTGTCCAAATATAAAAATGTGGAAAGCAAGCGTAAATCCACACGTACGTTGGTTTTCAGAGGCCAACTTGAAATGCATGATGATAATAGTGCTTATAGATTTTAATTATGAAAAAGGTTACATAAAATCATGCACCCTCAAACAAAATATGAAGAAGTGACTGTCTTGTGTTTTCCTCGACTTTATAATTATCGATAGTGTCGTCCGAAATAGCTTGATCATGGAGCTAGGCACTATAATTAAATAATGAATAATGAAAGGTTTGCGGAAACACCATGTTATAGTTTCTCAACTAAGAGAGTGGTTCTGAAAAGAACCAGAGGTATAATTAACTGGACTATTTTATGGACCGGTTCGATTTCATGTTATAAGATGAATGTCGGACACTTCGCCCCATTTCCACGTCGCCCCATGTCACTTCGCCCCTAACCACTTCGCCCCATCCCCACCTCGCCCCATTCCCACATCGCCCCATCTCCGCTTCGCCCCATTCCCACTTCGCCCCATTCCCAATTCGCCCCATCCCCACTTCGCCCCATCCCCACTTCGCCCCAGCCGTTACATGTAAAAAAAAAATCTCATCTATTTTATTGGCTTAAAAAAACAATTTCAACAGATTCACTAATTGCTAACCAACGGAAAGAATTAGCCCATCACTAAAATGAACAATTCATAACCAACCTCTCAAGCTAGGCTCTCCACTACCGAGAAAAAAGCTTGAAGTAAAAGATCCAACTTTGTTCCCAACCCGGCTATATACTAACCCGTCTCCCACTTATCTGAGAACGACAATACCTTTGACATCCTAATTTCACTCTTGGAGGAACCAATCTCATCTAAATGAAGTTGTAAGCCACGTCACATATCAGACAAATTTTGACGGAACATTTTCCTCAAGGCAGTGAGTTCCTTTTAACTCACTGACCCATCTACGGATTCTTTTGAATCCAGCGGCTATGATGATTTTATTCACAAGCCAATAGGAGAGGCGTCTCTGAATGGGATAGAGCCATCATTTCTCTCATCTGTGTCTCGAGCACCTCATCAGAGAGTTTGTATTTTTCCTAAGTTTCTAGAATTGGGAGCATTTATTATCTGGGGTCTTTGGCAGTTTATTTGGTCTGCACCCCTAGCCTTCACCTTTTTCATACTACATGGGGCGAAGTGGGGATGGGGCGAAGTGGGGATGGGGCGAAGCGGGGATGGGGCGAAGTGGGGATGGGGCGAAGCGGAGATGGGGCGATGTGGGGATGGGGCGAAGTGTAGATGGGGCGAAGTGGTTAGGGGCGAAGTGACATGGGGCGACGTGGAAATGGGGCGAAGCGTCCGACACCCTATAAGATTGATAACTTTAATTTCACTTACTTCAACCTATCTTGTGAACTGAAGACATGTTTGCGAAACAAGTTTTTTGAGTGTTTGTAGCATTATACTGCAATTAAACACAATTTTGCTATCACTTTGTAAACATGTCTAGAGGCTACACATTATGTGTCCAATTCCTAAACCTCAATGTTCAATTGCTAAACACTATCCATCCTCACTCGAAACATGTTTGGTATTTAAACATGTTTACAAACTGATAGCAAGAAGTGTTTAGAAAAGTGTTTAATTGCTAATTATTGCTAAACACAGTTTTTGCAGTGTATTTAATAAAATAACGCTCCCATTGTCTGATCGTTCCTTTCCTAATTTATCCAATTTTTGTCTGCACTGATCATCATTTGTTTTATTTATTTATCATCAGGCTCCGTCATGATTAAACGTGCAACACATGACGACCGCTTATCACGTGCGTTGTGTATGTTAAAGACAGAACCGATCATTGTTGACGTCACGGAATTTACTTTGCCATTAACTCAATGGCCATTGTTGTTGATGAAGTTAAGATAAGAAAAGCTGATGCTCACGATCATCGAGATCGTTAACTATCCTCGCCGGGAGGGGGGGGGGGGGTGGCTTGCGATCGAGGCTCGTAGTATGGCAAACGATGATTGCTTCGCGATCAAGTGCATGCCCGCTAAACGGTATACGGTGTGGGATCCCGCCGGTAGGATCTCCGGGGGGGGGGGGGGCTTATCCTTTCAAAATTCTCACCTCGTTTTGATTTCCACCGAATCAACATCCACCACGTCCAGTGCCTCCCCCCTCTCCATGGCATCCAAGGAGTCAGTTTCCACCTCGGGCTCCCGAAGGCAGCAGTTGAGACGGCCCAGCAGACTCCGAACACCCTTTCCTTTCTTCACGGGCCCGCTGCCAAATTCGGCCCGCGCGGATCTCGCCTTGGACTTGGCCGACTTGTTCTTTGGTTTCGGCCGTGTGTTCCAATCTACTGTCGGCGTGGGGGCTCCAAACATCGAAACCGACATGAAAATTCTCTGGTTAATGCCGTTGAACATGTCTGAAATTCACGTACTCAACCAAAAAATACCACTCTGGAAATACCGCTGTGGCGCACATAACACGATACGTGAAATGTTGTGTTGTATGTTTACGTTTCGCGTTTGACGTCGAGTCATGTTACTCTGCGCGTTAATTTATGCATAAGCGAGACAATGGGAGGTTTATGAGACAATTAAACAATTGATGACGCAAACAATGGTGTGTTTGCTGCCACCGTCCATTTAACGTCTCAAACAACCTCGTGCCCCGTGAATACGATCTTGCAGCGCCATGTTGTTTCCCATTATGCCTTGCGCGATAAACGAGCACGCGCCGATGGAGTCGAGGCTGCGTCTCAAAAGTCTCGCAAAGGCGCCCGCGCATACTCATCATTGACTTTTATACTTGCCATCTTCAGTGGGCTTCTTTTCTTGGGATTTGTTTTGTGGCCTTTAATGAGAGACTTTTGAGACGTTGGTGGCAGCAAACTCACCGCTACGGTCCTTTCATGTTTATTAAAGCTAAAGCTCGCATGCTCAACATGACGCAAACAATGAAAAAAAGGACCGGTGTGTTTGCTGCCACCAACGTCTAAAAAGTCTCCCATTGTTTCGGTTGTCCAAATAATTAATCGCCGGCGTCCGTGCTATAAGGGTGCAACCCTGCAAAAAAATCCCATAGACACTAGTGCTAACTGCGCAGGCTTCAAAATTCTTTTAAAAATACTCAGAATTCTCACAGGTACAGAGCCTCCTGTATGTTTCTCTTGAGTCCACCGGGCATCCGTTATCCATCAATACACCTCAAAAACTGTATTTAGCAATTAAACATTTTTTTTCTAAACACTTTCTTGCTATCACTTTGTAAACATGTTATTAAATACTTAACACGTTTAGCGTAAGGATGAACAGTGTTTAGCAATTGAACATTGATGTTTAGGAATTGAACACATAATGTTTAGCTTCTAAACATGTTTACAAAGTGATAGCAAGATTGTGTTTAGTTGCTAAACGCAGTTTGTAGAGTGTAGTTTAGCTAAAAAATCAGCCGATCTTCTGATTATCATTTAGCCGATTATCATTTACTGCAGCCGATTTCGGTTAATTTGGATCCTAATTTTTGCAAAACGTGAACACTATCTCTCTGATTTTGGAAGCATAGTTCCACCGCCTTCAGTTTTATTTAAAATTGAGCTCAGTGGTTGCAAGTGTTAAAAGATAAGAAAGAAATTCAACACCCGGATGTTGTGTTTCTATCAATATTAATGCCGGTTTATTTCTTATAAATGCAACCTACTTCGAAGAACATTTTGTGTAATTCTTAAAAATCGAGATATATCGCCAAATCTTTGCTATAATAGCAGTTCTGATTAAAATGCTATAACTGACATGATTATTGTTCGAGACTGTGATTCCTCTTCGTGAATAACGTCTTCATTTGTTTTGTATTTCTTTACCAAGGGTATGATATCCTTCATGGCCTTTCATTCCAAAGTTTTAAATATAATTTAAACATAAGTAACAATCACCAGGGAAAAGTGGTGCAGGATATAGGATAAACTATAAATTGCTAAAACATAGGTGAGGTGAACACAAAACTTACATTATTTTGATGACAAGTACAGATTTAAAGAATTCGCTGATTATACGGGATGGGCGAAAACCCCGCGAAAATCCTTTGGGGAAAAAAAGACGGGGAAATTCCCATCCGGCTCCAGTTTTCCATGGCAACCAAGTTTGTCAACTCCCTTATCAGCACACTTTTGATATTATTGATTTCTTATACATGAAAAGAATTGTTATACATGTACTGACTACTGACACAAAGTTTCAATATTGTTCAGATTTGAATGATGTGAAAATAGCTACGGTTCTAATTCGTTGGTTTATACTAAGTCATTAGTTTCATCTCTCATTTCATAACCAAATTTGAAACCAAAGGGGAGAATAATCGCATTGTCAATAGTGGTTCATCACTTACTGAACTACAGAACATGTCCTTGGAAGTTTGAAAGAAGGATTGTGTTCTTAACTTGGGCTCAAGAGGGCGCCTTTGGCAGCCCGCCGTATAGGCAGGAGTTTGATATAACCATTATTAAGTTCAAGTTCCTCTCTTTGCAGTCCAAAAGATCACGTCCTGCTTTGCCTGCTGCTTTCCTCCTGTCCCTGCATGGTCATGTCTCCTTGTCCCCTGTGGTCTATGGTCATGGTTTTTAAGGCTGTCATGGCAGATTTGGATCAGAACCAGACTACAGGTGATTTTCCTATTATACAAGGAAGTTTGAAAAGAAAAGATTCGTGTTATAAGCCGTCCTTTAAGCTGAAGCTTCTTACGAAAAATCAGGTTGATTGTTTCGCTTTTCAAGCCAAGCTTTTATTTGTGTTTACATTTCTTAACATTAAAATAAGGTGCATCGGTTTGCAGAGAGTGCCTTGGCATCTACCATTGTACTTGTATTGTACGAGTGGCATCCACTCGGGATGTGGTAAAGATATGCGGCCATATATGTTTGGCTCATATCCTTCCCTAGTAAAGGGTGCACACCGGTAAATAGGCCTAAACTCAGCCGCCGAGCTCATGAATAAAAGTTATACCCTCAAAATATTATATATTAGACAGTTCTGAGAGCCATAAAAATAGGGAATTAAAGGGATATGGCAATGAACCTCTGGCCCGGACTTGGGGCTTCCGATTCTGAGCATTTTAGATGCAGTTGGGCTCGACGCGCTCGAAAGTGGCACTATTTTGCCATGTTGTGGAGGGATCGGTTTTTTTTCAAGATGGCTACTTTTCCGCTTGGGGGAAAATAGGGGTCGTCTTCTTTGGGTGAGAATATCTCAAAAAGTCAATGGTCAACTCACCAAAAAATGAAACGAAACTGAAAGGTGACATGTTAATCACCATTATTCTGTGCAGCTTAAATGCCTGTGAGAGTTTTGAGTACTTTTAATAGAATTTTGAAGTATGGACATTTAGCTTTAGTGTCTATGGGAATTGTAATACAAGGTTGTACCCTATAAGATGTGTGGTCGTTTAGGATCCTGACTCCCTGGAAGGTTGATGTTTGGAATCCCCAGGCTCTTCTGTTGCCTCTCTGTTCTCAGTCTGGTGTTGACAGTTAGCATCCTCTCCTTGTGTCTTCTCCTCGGGATGTAGGTTTGGATAGGCTCCTGTCTTCTTTCAGGGATGTGCGTGTGGATAAGGTGTCATCTCACCCTTTGGTTGTTATATAGAATAAAAGAAAACCCAGGAATTTTATTGCTGAATTGTATAACATTCGTTGTAGAGCGTGTACGATTATGCGAATCTACTGACACCTGATACGAGGGCCCACTTTCAATCAACGTATACAACCTGTATACGATGATGTTAGCTGTTTAGTGGTTTTTCTTTATGTTTAAAAAAAATACTGCTGATTCTTGTTTAATGGTCATCGAAATTCTTTTCAAAATATGAAGTTTGGTCGAAACAATATAAGAAAACCCTTTTCCATCGATGATTAAAAATGTTTAACATAAAAATAACGTCAAGCCTGTTCACAAACCTTAATATTCCTTTTCCCATCCTCAATGTATTTTAACCATATTCCAATACTCCTATCTAAGCTCATTCCAAGAATGATCATTTTTTTTGTGATCATCCCTGTGTGTAATTTACCAACTTTTATCACAGAGTATTTTACCCCTGCACTGCACTCTAGTTGCTGTTTCCAGTTTCGAGTGTTCACTTAGTCTTAACTAAAAATGACCACTATATACAACTTAAATATTATTTTAACCCCCCCTTCCCGTTATATTGTCGTTATTTTTTTTAGGGATCCGATTTGGTGTATACGTCGTATTGATATTGCAGTTGATTTGCAGTTTCTAGTTAAGCTGATTTGGTTTTTGCCCACTAAAATTTGAATGGTATTTTGTTCACTTAAATTTGAAAGGTATACATTTTTGTCCCCTATATATTTGAATAGAGAATACCTTTATTATAAGTAGTAGATGCATGGCAGAATGATTGTTCTAACATTGCTGATTTCCTGATTGTATAAATTAAATTTCAAAAACCCTGTAAATCACACTATTAACAAAAATCTAAGCATTACTTTTTCTACTCATTTTCTGTGATGCTAATATTAAACGTGAATAACAGGAACACTCCTGGGGAATAATCCCCCCTTTTTTTCCCACGGAATGTTAGTTGTCCTCCCTTGATCTGGGCTCATGTCCTCGATGATCCAGACGTCATTCCAATCCCATCTCTGAATCCCATCTTTACTGTAAGGTAAAAAACGCATTAAATTAAACGCAAATGAGTGGGGCAGGTAAGGGGTGGGGGATTGTTTATACTTTGATGATAAATGCAAGGTATTTGGCGCACAGGTTTTTTCTCCGGACACTTGGCCTCCGTCAAATCAAAGGGGGGGGGGCTGGTTCCATCTGTCGATGGGGGCGCTGTTCAAAACCGACAATTATGCACACAAAGGGGCAATATATGGTGCTTTTCAGGGCGATACAATGTGCGAAATTCTGAAAAACGCACCCTAAACGGCAGATGCCACAAAAAAGGGCACCACTTCTTTTTTGAAAAGGGCACTTGTTCAGAAAAAAAGGGCACTTCGTTAAAAAAAGGCACTCTTTATAAACTATTGGGGGGGGGGGGTAAGCCCGTTGAAAAAAAAGGCATTTGAATGGAAAAAGGCAGTCTTTACAAAATATTGGGGGGGGGGTTAAATACCCCCTTACCCCCCGCTGGCTACGCCTATGATATATCCTTCTCATTACATACTCTGACTGTGTGCCGAATTCCATGCATCTATCATGTTAACAATCCCATCACCAATCTGACGTACTGTATTATAAGCAGACGTTTGAATAAAGAGAAGCACACTGATCAATAGACCTAAGACATAATGACGTCATGCTTTGTTTACATGTGCGCTTTCATATAGGAACCAGGTTGGGTTGAGAGCCACTCGTCCCCGCATGAATGTGTACATGTAAACAAAGCATGATGTCATCATGTCTTATTTAGGTGTATTAGATTGATTAGATGTATTGGTGATGGTGATTCTTCTGGTGCAGTTGACATCCTATATCCCACGTCACAAAGGGAAATGTTACAATGTAGGTACACGATTCTTTCTAACTACTACATTGTAATCTTTCTAACTACTACATTGTAATAATTATTGTCTTATTATTTTTTTGGTAATTACTGAAGGGTTTACCGAGCCAAACTGATGAGGAAGAATATTTATCAGACTTTTCACGATTTGAACTATTTTGCGACATTCACCTTTGGAGTGATCCTCAGTTGCCATATCCCAGTAGAACGATGATCACCTTCATCGACAATAAGTCGCGCGATGATGTTACACCCCCTCCCCCTCCCCCTCCCCCCCCCCCTCCTTCCCGTGTGGACTGCGTCTCTGCACCGAGTCTTCAGAAGGAGAGAGATCTTTTAGGCTGGCCGCCAAAAGTCGGTCATGGACCACTCATCATGGGCCGCCACTCTTGGTTGACATGAAGAGTGGCGACGTAGGGCACAGAGACAGGACTGATGAGGGTCCACTAGGGCGGCCGGAGATCTCTCTTCAGGAAGACAAGGAGGTACTTGGGGAGAGTCGCTTGACGTTGATGATCCTGCAAAATGAGTTTTCATGGAAAATTTGTTGTTAAATGTCACAATGCACCTGTTCTTTTTCAAAAAATACTACCACTACCAGGAATCCTTTTTTGTATCATGCTACCACAGGATTTACGGAGGGCCATTCAGGGATGAATACATTCCAGGTCTCTTGCTTACCTTTTAGTCCTCCTGTATCCTGTATCTTGGTGAATTCTGATGTTGCTCAATCGTTCTACTGGCGTCGGTCCGGTGTCTTCAGTTACTGCCAGCCCCATGATAGATGACATTTGGAGGCTGGCTTGGCAGGGCAGCTTGGGCAGGGGGCTGGGACTGAACTTGTTTACCGGGCTGGTTTTCCTTTCTTTGACTCGTCCAATCAGTAACGGCCCAGGCTGCTACGGAACGGGCGTCCACACCTGCAGGCAACAGGGTTGGAGCCTAGAGGTGTTGTATCAACTCCAGATATGATGCTGCCACCGGAACTAGAGTCGAGGTGGTGTCGAGCAGGAATGTCACCCTGCTGGTGTACAGTGTGTTTCTGCTCCCAAGTCTTCAGGAGGAGAGCTCTTTAGGATGGTAGTCTGACAGACAACCAACTAGTCGCCAAAAGTCATGGACCACTCATCATGGGCCGCCACTCTTGGTTGGCATGCAGAGTGGCGGCTAGTGCACATGGCAGGCTGATGAGGGTCCATTAGGGCGGCCGGAGATCTCTCTTAGGATTTTAGGATGGTAGTCTGACAGACAACCAGCTGTATGGTCGCCAAAAGTTGGTCATGGACCACTCATCATGGGCCGCCACTCTTGGTTGGCATGCAGAGTGGCGACTAGGGCACAGGGCCAGGACTGATGAGGGTCCATTAGGGCGGCCGGAGATCTCTCTTAGGAAGACTCGGAGGTGCTCGGGGATGATGACTTGACGTGGATGATCCTGCAAAATTAGTTGCAATTAATTAAATGCAAGGTATTTGGCGCACAGGTTTTTTCTCCGGACACTTGGCCTCCGTCAAATCAAAGGGGGGGGGGGGGGCTGGTTCCATCTGTCGATGGGGGCGCTGTTCAAAACCGACAATTATGCACACAAAGGGGCAATATATGGTGCTTTTCAGGGCGATACAATGTGCGAAATTCTGAAAAACGCACCCTAAACGGCAGATGCCACAAAAAAGGGCACCACTTCTTTTTTGAAAAGGGCACTTGTTCAGAAAAAAAGGGCACTTCGTTAAAAAAAGGCACTCTTTATAAACTATTGGGGGGGGGGGGGTAAGCCCGTTGAAAAAAAAGGCATTTGAATGGAAAAAGGCAGTCTTTACAAAATATTGGGGGGGGGGGTTAAATACCCCCTTACCCCCCGCTGGCTACGCCTATGATATATCCTTCTCATTACATACTCTGACTGTGTGCCGAATTCCATGCATCTATCATGTTAACAATCCCATCACCAATCTGACGTACTGTATTATAAGCAGACGTTTGAATAAAGAGAAGCACACTGATCAATAGACCTAAGACATAATGACGTCATGCTTTGTTTACATGTGCGCTTTCATATAGGAACCAGGTTGGGTTGAGAGCCACTCGTCCCCGCATGAATGTGTACATGTAAACAAAGCATGATGTCATCATGTCTTATTTAGGTGTATTAGATTGATTAGATGTATTGGTGATGGTGATTCTTCTGGTGCAGTTGACATCCTATATCCCACGTCACAAAGGGAAATGTTACAATGTAGGTACACGATTCTTTCTAACTACTACATTGTAATCTTTCTAACTACTACATTGTAATAATTATTGTCTTATTATTTTTTTTGGTAATTACTGAAGGGTTTACCGAGCCAAACTGATGAGGAAGAATATTTATCAGACTTTTCACGATTTGAACTATTTTGCGACATTCACCTTTGGAGTGATCCTCAGTTGCCATATCCCAGTAGAACGATGATCACCTTCATCGACAATAAGTCGCGCGATGATGTTACACCCCCTCCCCCTCCCCCTCCCCCCCCCCTCCTTCCCGTGTGGACTGCGTCTCTGCACCGAGTCTTCAGAAGGAGAGAGATCTTTTAGGCTGGCCGCCAAAAGTCGGTCATGGACCACTCATCATGGGCCGCCACTCTTGGTTGACATGAAGAGTGGCGACGTAGGGCACAGAGACAGGACTGATGAGGGTCCACTAGGGCGGCCGGAGATCTCTCTTCAGGAAGACAAGGAGGTACTTGGGGAGAGTCGCTTGACGTTGATGATCCTGCAAAATGAGTTTTCATGGAAAATTTGTTGTTAAATGTCACAATGCACCTGTTCTTTTTCAAAAAATACTACCACTACCAGGAATCCTTTTTTGTATCATGCTACCACAGGATTTACGGAGGGCCATTCAGGGATGAATACATTCCAGGTCTCTTGCTTACCTTTTAGTCCTCCTGTATCCTGTATCTTGGTGAATTCTGATGTTGCTCAATCGTTCTACTGGCGTCGGTCCGGTGTCTTCAGTTACTGCCAGCCCCATGATAGATGACATTTGGAGGCTGGCTTGGCAGGGCAGCTTGGGCAGGGGGCTGGGACTGAACTTGTTTACCGGGCTGGTTTTCCTTTCTTTGACTCGTCCAATCAGTAACGGCCCAGGCTGCTACGGAACGGGCGTCCACACCTGCAGGCAACAGGGTTGGAGCCTAGAGGTGTTGTATCAACTCCAGATATGATGCTGCCACCGGAACTAGAGTCGAGGTGGTGTCGAGCAGGAATGTCACCCTGCTGGTGTACAGTGTGTTTCTGCTCCCAAGTCTTCAGGAGGAGAGCTCTTTAGGATGGTAGTCTGACAGACAACCAACTAGTCGCCAAAAGTCATGGACCACTCATCATGGGCCGCCACTCTTGGTTGGCATGCAGAGTGGCGGCTAGTGCACATGGCAGGCTGATGAGGGTCCATTAGGGCGGCCGGAGATCTCTCTTAGGATTTTAGGATGGTAGTCTGACAGACAACCAGCTGTATGGTCGCCAAAAGTTGGTCATGGACCACTCATCATGGGCCGCCACTCTTGGTTGGCATGCAGAGTGGCGACTAGGGCACAGGGCCAGGACTGATGAGGGTCCATTAGGGCGGCCGGAGATCTCTCTTAGGAAGACTCGGAGGTGCTCGGGGATGATGACTTGACGTGGATGATCCTGCAAAATTAGTTTTCATTCAAGATTATTTTTTCTCTTACTACCATTAAAAGAAGATTTAAAGAGCTGATGCATACGCATCAACATATTCGTAGTTTTTTCCTTTGAAGATTTGTTAAAAACTTTCCAGGGATGAATACATCCTGTACACGTATGTATATCGTCTGTTGTTTACCTTTGAGTCCTCCTGTATCCTGTTTCTTGGTGAATTCTGACGTTGCTCAATCGTTCTACTGGCGTCGGTCCGGTGTCTTCAGCCAAGCCAGCCCCATGGCAGATGACGGTTGGAGGCTGGCTTGGCTGGGCAGCTTGGGCAAGGGGCTGGGACTGGACTTGTTGACCGGGCTGGTTTTCCTTTCTTTGACTTGTCCAATCAGTAACGGCCCAGGCTGCTACGGAGCGGGCGTCCACACCAGCAGGCAATAGGTTGGAGCCCAGAGATGTTGTATCAACCCCGCGTGGGATGCTGCCACCGGAACTAGAGGTGTTTGTTGAGGAGGTGTCAAGCAAGGGCGTAATCTTGCTAGTGTACCTCCCTGTATACGTGGCCTCTACTGACTTCCACCTGTCCCCCTCCTTGGTGCTTCCCGCTCCCCTGGTTGTCCCCTTTCCACGATGTTTTGTTGGTCCAGGGATGCCTGAAGTGAGATGGTTGGTGTCCACGTTGGAATTTGTGGCTACCTTTTCAGGTTGAGAGCCACCTGAAGATCTACGATGAAACAAGATGTTTTTGAATAATGTGAGGGCAAGAATGTTCATGTCAATTCATTTTGTCATCTTTTATTTCTAAACTTAACATGTAAAACAGATTCACACAGAGAGACTAATTTACCCATTTGCAACCTCATAGAAGCCTGGGGGACCGCCGGGTGGCATGGGTGTTCTCGATCCCTTATTCCAAAAATCCCTGAGGTATCCGCAGGCTCGTCGGAAAGGACCACCAAGTCCGCCCTTCTTGGCCAACCCAGAGGGTCTTCTTTTCCCCTCGTTAGCCTTCCCGTCCTCAGTACTGGGAGTTGAGGATTGCCTGCTCTGCTGGTCGTCACCCGGACTTGGGGTTGTTGCTGGACAGCTGGAGGAACCACCACTCTGCTGTGGGCTGTTCGTGTGAAAAAAAAATCATGTAGATTTTATTATTCCATTAAATTCCCTTTTTTTTTACTCAGTGCTTTGTCCTCAGAGATGCCTACATAACCCACAAACTGTATCAGCCTGGAGGTTCCGGGTTTGGTTGGTATCAAAAATAAAGGAAATAATGGTCATTGTGATTTTTGGCAAGGTATTCACCCCTGTAGTTGGAAAACATGTGAAAGCATTGCAGCGTCGGCAGCTTTTTGGGTGCTATCACTTTATAAAAAAAAATGGTTGCCAAAACATGCTTGTTACCACAGATAATATAGCATATTGGCGGCCATTTTGATTTTTTTTCAGTGATAGCACCCAAAAAATGCCACCGTTTACACTGCAAACTATCACACATTTTCCAACTCTAGATGTGCCTACCTTACAAAAATAGCTATGAGCATTGCTGCTTTCAGGTTTCAGGTTCAGGTTTATTTATTTCCACAGTATTAATCCAACAAAAGTTAATCATAGAAATAAATAAATAAATAAATAAATAAATTAATTAATATATAAAGATGCAATTAACGAACAAGTGATACTTACAAAAGCTAAGTTTAACTTACAGATGTGAACAAACAGAAACAGCCAAGTACCTAAAGGCATGGGCTATATACAATGTAGGCTCGCTGACTGGATTTAAATGAACAATTGCATTGCAGAGACTCAGCTATAAGCTTCTAACAAAATAGATTTGTAAATACGTTTAAAGGTCGAAATGTTTTTAGCGGCTTTAAGTTTATCAGGAACTGAATTCCAAAGCATGGGTCCCTCGTGTTTAACCGTTTTATGGGCAAAAGAAGTACGGGTGTATGGAATGTGAAAATTAGAGGCTTGAAGAGTAAAGTAAGAATGAATTTCGAGATTCCGAGAAAAAAAAATACTTTTAATGGAGGAAGGTATATTGTTACTGGCGACCTTGTACATGAGGGACCCAAGCTGATAATGATAAATATCATCGAGTTTTAAAGTTTTATGTTTTAAGAACAGGGGATCTGTATGTGCATTAAAATCTGAGAAGTTTATTATTCGAAGGGCCCGTTTCTGCAAGAGGAGAAGTCTGTTTAAATATTTGCCAGCGGCACCTCCCCATGCGATTATCCCATAATTAATGTATGATACAACCAGGGTACTGTACAGAGAATCAAGAACGGGTCCGGGAAAGAAATATTTAATCTTATTAATAACACCAATATTCCTAGCGATAATTTTACAAATATGATCGATATGACGATCATTTGATACCGGTGGTCGAATTTTTGGGCCGAAGCTGATAGCCTAGTATGAAATTCTGTTAATTTGGGAGAATTTGTTGAAATTCATACATCGATCATGGGTCTTTTAAGCTAGTTGAGATATACGACTTTTCAAGCCAATCTTTGAAAGATTTCAGAGAGGTTGGGTTCATTAGTGTAATCTCTTGTCCAGATATCAAATGTGGAAAGCAAACGTAAATCCACACGTAGCTTTTCAGAAGCCGATTTGAAATGTATGACGCCCGTCTTAGTCCTTTTTCCAAATAGGAAATAATAGTGCTGATAGAATTTATTGTGAAAGAGGTGAAATAAAATCATGCACCCTCAATAGTGAATAATTAAGTGATTGTCTTGTGTCATTTCCTTGACTGGTATCATTAGTGATAGTGTCGTCCGAAATAGCTTGATATAATTAACTGGGCTATTTCATGGACAGGTTCGATTTCATGTTATAATATTGATTACTCTAATTTAATGAGGTATATTGTGTGATTCATAATCTTCACTTCAACGATCTTCTGAACTGAATGCATGTAATTTGTGAAACCAGTTTTCTTGAGTGTTTATAGCCATATATCCGGTCCTTTTAATTTAATAAATGCTCCCATTGTCTGATCGTTCATTTCCTATTTTATCCAATTTGTCTGCACTGTTCATCATCAGTTTTTTATTTGATAGCTTGTATCATCTAAATGGTGTCAAGATGCATGTTTTCACTTGCTTATATACGCGCTACGCATGACGACCGCTTATCACGCGCGCGCCTGGTGACATAATGTCTATGGTAATAACCGATCATTGTTGACGTCACGGAATTTACTGTCATTAACTCAGTGGTCATTGTTGTTGATGAAGTTTAGTAAAGAAAAGCCGATGCTCACGATCGTCGTTAACTATTCTACTACGCCGGGAAAAGGGGGGAGGGGGCGGGGGAGGGGGCGGGGCGATCGAGGCTCGTAGTATAGTAAACGATGATTGCTTCGCGATCAAGTGCATGCCCGCTAAACGGTATACGGTGTGGGATCCCCGCCTGTAGGATCTTCTGGGGGGGGGGGGGGGCTTATCCCTCCGAAATTCTCACCTCGTTTTGATTTCCACCGACTTAACATCCACCACGTCCAGTGCCTCCCCCCTCTCCATGGCATCCAAGGAGTCAGTTTCCACCTCGGGCTCCCGAAGGCAGCAGTTGAGACGGCCCATCAGACTCCGAACACCCTTTCCTTTCTTCACGGGCGCGCTGCCAAATTCGGCCCGCGCGGATCTCGCCTTGGACTTGGCCGACTTGTTCTTTGGTTTCGGCCGTGTGTTCCAATCTACTGTCGGCGTGGGGGCTCCAAACATCGAAACCGACATGAAAATTCTCTGGTTAATGCCGTTGAACATGTCTGAAATTCACGTCCTCAACCAAAAAATATCACTCTGGAAATACCGCTGTGGCGCACATAACACGATACGTGAAATGTTGTGTTGTATGTTGACGCTTACGTTTCGCGTGACGTTGAGTCATGTTACTCTGCGCGATAATTTATGCATAAGCGAGACAATGGAAGGTTTATGAGACAATTAAAAAAATTATGACGCAAACAATGGTGTGTTTGCTGCCACCGTCCATTGAACGTCTCAAAAGTCTCGCAAAGGCGCGCGCGCATGCTCATCATTGACTTTTATGCTTGCCATCTTCAGTGGGCTTTTTTTCTTCGGATTTTGTTTTGTGGCCTTCAATGAGAGACTTTTGAGACGTTGGTGGCAGCAAACTCACCGCTACGGTCGACCCTTTCATGTTTAAGCTAAAGCTCGCATGCTCAACATGACGCAAACAATGAAAAAAAAGGGGGAAAAAAGGACCGGTGTGTTTGCTGCCACCAACGTCTAAAAAGTCTCCCATTGTTTCGGTTGTCCAAATAATTAATTGCAGGCGTCTGTGCTATAAGGGTGCAACCCTGCAAAAAAATCCCATAGACACTAGTGCTAAATGCGCAGGCTTCAAAATTCTTTTAAAAATACTCAGAATTCTTACAGGTATTCAAACTGCACTGAAAAATGATGATCAATGTGTCATCTTTCATTTTTGTTCATTTTTGGTGCGTTGACCATTGACATTTTGAGATATTCTCACCCGAAGAAGACGACCCCTAGTTTCCCCAAAGCGGAAAAGTAGCCATCTTGAAAAACGATCCTTCCACAACATGGCAAAATAGCGCCACTTTTGAGCCCAATATCATCCAAAATGCTCAGAATTGGAAGCCCCAAGTCCGGACCAAAGGTTCATCACCATATCTCTTCAATTCCCCAATTCTGTGGCTCTCAAAACTCTCTAATATAGAATATTTTGAGGGAATAACTTTTATTCAAGAGCTCGGCGGACGGATTTTTGACCTATTTACAGGCGTGTACCCATAAAGGGGGCTCTTTGGTGGCCCTGAAGGGACATCATATATTGCAAATATCTTTGCAAATATTTGTGATTTCATAACTTTTATCACAAATATCTTTGCAAAATGCAAATATTTTCAAACATATTTGTAAACATATTCGAAAATAGGTGCATTTTGCAAATATATGTGTAATGTGTGATGTTCCTTCAGCTTCAGGTCGGGTTCTTTTGATAATTGCGATGAGTCAGAAGAGACATTGTACGTCGCAAACATCTTTGCAAATATTTGTGATGTCGCAATTAAATATTGTTGCAAATGTCTTTGCAAATATTTGGGATATTGCAACATTTTATTGCAAATAACTGTATTTGCAAATATCTTGGAAAGAAGTTCGATATCAAAATATTATCTTTTCGATTTTGTTCTTGGTGACCGATGTTTTTTGTGCGTTTTAATTAAGTTTATACGGTGATGTCTCATTGGCCGCCCATACCATACCCGGGGCACGCGCGCGTGCGCACGCCAAAGTTACTTGTTTGTTCGCTGGTACCCTTCAACCAGACCGCCTTTCTTTTGTAAAGGCGAATGCTTACCGTGCATCCGATCGACGCCATGTCTTTTTCATTCAGCATTTTGCATCTGAAAGTCTCTGCACGTGTTGAGGAAAGTAGCTCGTTTCCTTGACCCAAAAATCCTGTATTGTGACATTTGCTACGTTTTTGACAGCCACAGATTACTACCTAAAGATGTCGCACGGGAGCGGCGGTGGCGGGCCTCCAGAAATAGAGGGAATGACGTCCCTGAAAGTGGACAATCTGACTTACCGCACAAAGCCCGAGGACCTGCACAAAGTCTTCTCGAAATATGGCGACGTGGGGGACGTGTACATCCCGCGCGATCGCTACACCAAGGAAAGCCGGGGCTTCGCGTTCGTCCGATTCTTCGACAAGCGAGACGCTGAAGATGCGATGGACTACATGGACGGAGCCGCCATGGACGGGAGGGAGTTGAGGGTGCAAATGGCGCGATATGGCCGGCCGTCTACGGACTACAACCGACGGCCACGCCGTTATGACCGCGGTGGAGGGGGCAGGAGTGGTGGATGGGACCGGCGCAGAAGGTAATTGCGGGAAGTCAAATATTTGTCATGTTTGTCCTGATCTTGTTCCATGATTGGTAATTGCGTATAATTTACAAACCCCTCTTTCTTTTAAGTTCATAGTGTGGAAAGAATTCCACACTCTGACGTAGCTGGAGTTACCCAGCCCTAAATTTTATCATGACATTGGGTTGTCATTTAGGGCTGGAGGAAGTTTTTCACTCGAACCAGCAGCGTTGGCAACCAAACTCACCCAAACCTTGCCTGGAATAACCATTACACAGGTCCTCGAAGTAAAAAACGATCCACGATGAAGATTCAGCCTACAATTGCAGTGAAAAAAGGAGGACAAATGGAGGAATAACCGTGCAGGCATGGGGAGGACTGCAATTGGTTTGTGCACAAACAAACTGCGTGTACAATGAATGGCGGTCGATTACCATGCACAGCGTGCTGGTACCAGTCGTTCTTGCCAGCTGCGCTGGCTGTTGGCGCATGACGTCACGGGGAAGCGTAACACCCGATTACTGTTTTATGCACTATCGGTTGCTGTTCCAGTACCATACCGCAGCCGTGATGCGAGTGGTAAACCTCATGTTAGTGCATGAAACAGTCATCGGGTGAATATAATTTACGATAATGGATGGACGGGTGACAAGTCTAATAAGCAGTGCGGTCAAGAACCTGATAGACATCAATGCAGTGTGCGCAGTGGAGTATTTATTATTTTCAATGGGTTTGCATCGCGTGTTTGTATCACATGTGGATGTGTGTGTATTGTACATGTAATGTGTGCAGTGCAGTGATGATCGTGAGCTAGCAATTTGCAAACACATTGGTGTCAATGTTGCCGTGATGAGACCCATCAGCAGTGCGAGATTTTGATCAAGGAATTTAAGAGCATGGTTGGAACAACTGGTAATGAAGTGTCACTGTGGATGGAAATCAGTTTGAGCTGCAGTAGTGCTTTGAAAAATAGCCACCACCAACACAAAAATGTTTTGGAAGCCTGGGAGTTTATAAGTAAGATTAGTAACTTAGCACCGTTAATATTTTTTTGTGAATTGTTTCTTTCTCTCTGCAAAAGTGCAAACATGCAAAAGTAACATCACACACAGAAAAACACATTATTGAATCAATCACGTGTGGATTATATTATTTAATGACCAGACATGTTTTTCCTCATTTTCCCCCCCATTTGTTTTCTTTACTGAAGCGACAAAATGTGCAAACATTAAAGAAATTACAAAAAGTTGCCATGGTTGATCCATAACTCTTAAATGTTTTTTGAACAATTGACATTTGGATCATCATAGGCGTTGCTGTGTGTGGGGGGGGGGGTATTTAAACACCCCCCCCCCCCAATATTTTGTAAAAACTGCCTTTTTGATTTTACGGAGCTTTTGATTTACCCCCAATATTTTGTAAAAACTGCCTTTTTTGATTTTACGGAGGCCAAGTGTCTTTGTGACTTTTTACCTTTTTTTGCAGTCGGACATGAGACGTGCACATTGTAGTTCTCAAAGCATGCGTGAAAGCCTGACACAATGAAAGCCCGATGCTGATAGGCTGATACAAACAAAATAATTTTTTTTTTTTTTTTTAACAGCCGATTAGCATCGAGCTTTCATTGCATCGAGCTTTCACTGTCACCATCTCGTTTTTGGAGCCTATTTTTTGGGTGTCATTGTCGTCTTTCACCCCGTTATTTTCCTCATAAATCAAAGCCCTGCCCTCTTTCCACAAAATTAAAGGGAATGTACAACTTTTGCTTTTGCTGCACTTTTCAGAAATAAATGGATTTGGAGGATTAGTATGTTATATAAACTATTGTTAAACTGACTGTTTCATGTTTTGGGCTTGTACATGCTGGAAAAACCAAGAAAACCTATCATGTTCTTGCAGTCTGGTTCCCTGACCCCACTTAAGATGAAACAAAGCAAATAATACATTTTGGCATGTTTGGGGAATTGTAAGGTCAGAGAATCAGTCTAGCAGGCTTGTACTCCTTCACAGGTGTGTGATCAATTGCAAAGAAAAGTCAGAATAACTAAATGTGAAAAATTAAGAACAGTTTTTGGAAAAAGCCAGTTTTCTCCAACTCTGGTCGGCCGACCAGCGTTGGAAAAATACAGTTTTTCTTGAAAATGTCAGCACACCAGGAGCCACAATTTTAAAGGATGCTTTAGACTGTCAGTCCCTAACAATTCAGTAAGGTAATTCCTGATAATTTGATCATTTCGTTTTTTGATGTTTGCAAATGTTGTATTTTCCCTTTAAACCTGCCAATATTCAAGAAGGTGTCACTACCAGCTGATCAAATGTGTTAGGAAATACATGTATTCCGTTACTTTTAAGAGTCATTTAGTCAGCTGTATTGGTGAGTCTTTGAACCTTATAGGAACGGGGTCCTAAAGATAACAATTACCTATACAAGGGCACAACGATTGATCTCCTTTATAATGGAGATCAAGGGATGGTCGAGTCGGTACAACAGTCGAGTTGGTAAATGGTCGAGTTGGTAAATGGTCGAGTTGGTAAATGGTCGAGTTGGTAAATGGTCGAGTTGGTAAATGGTCGAGTTGGTAAATGGTCGAGTTGGTAAATGGTCCAGTTGGTAAATGGTCGAGTTGGTAAATGGTCCAGTTGGTAAATGGTCCAGTTGGTAAATGGTCCAGTTGGTAAATGGTCCAGTTGGTAAATGGTCCAGTTGGTAAATGGTCCAGTTGGTAAATGGTCCAGTTGGTAAATGGTCCAGTTGGTAAATGGTCCAGTTGGTAAATGGTCCAGTTGGTAAATGGTCCAGTTGGTAAATGGTCCAGTTGGTTTGAGTCGATTTGGCAAACAGTCAAGTTGACCAGATACCTTTTTAAGTTCTGTTATTAAAAAAATGAAATTTTAGTACCCACTAGCGAGATGCTGTGCTTTGCGCGGCACCTGCTAGCTGGTCGGTGCGCCCTCAATTTGGCATTTTGAGTGCCAATGACCATGATGAGGCCAAACATACAAAATTGTGAGTTTACAGTAACCCGACCTACCTGGAGTTTTTGTGGCCAAATAACCCGCCTCAAAGTTTTTATGCCATTTTGCAGGAAAAATGTACATATACATCGTTAACCCTAACCCTGCTGAATCCAACAGGATCCAACTATGTCATATATACCCGATGGAGCCTGTTGGATTGAGCAGTAAACCCCTTGTGTACATTCTTAATGCAAAATGTTGGATTCAGCAGGCAACTGAACTGTATTTATATAGCCAAGTTGGACGCCGTTGGAACTAGCAGACTACATGTACTGAAAATAAGGCACAGTGGATTAAGCAGGAAACTCTGGTTGGACTCAGCATGGATTTTGCAGGGTAGTCCTGATAGGGGGTTAGTTTATGAGTCGCAGACATTGAAGAACATGCAAATGCACCAGGGTTGGCTGATTTAAATCACGTTGATTAAAATCACTGATTTAAATCACTAAATTTAAATCAAATGATTTTTTTTATAAAAATCACTGATTTAAATCACTTTTTTGTAAAAATCTTATTTTTGGCAAAATCAATTGATTGAGGGTCATTTTAATCATTTAAAACAACTGATTCCACTTTATTACAAAGTGTAAGATGTCGTTAACACATTCATACACCCATACTTCATCACCATCGACTCAATTTAGGTTTTGCATAATTACACAAAATCGTTGTTTTGATTAAGTCAAGATCTGAGTTTAAAAGTTTTCCTTCAAAGTTTTTAATTTTAAATAGAGCTCACTCACGTTTGCTTTAATCATTCCTTGATCTGTTTACAGCAATATTGTGAATCAACTGTGCTGGTGTAGGCTTACATGAACCATCAAAAGGTGTATTAAAAGTCCCAATTGATAGTCGTATTCCTAACGTTTCTCCCTACAAATTTAGATTGAGATTTGTATAAAACCTTGAAAAGGTGCAAGGCCTGATTTCTGTTCTCCACCTTGGACCATCAGTGCCGCCGGTTTTGAAATGAGAAGCATTTTTATGAAATGAACATGCCCACAGAGAACTGTCGTATTTTTCTTGTATACCATGCACAGGTACAGGTACCATAAATCAAGTTTTCATTCATATCCACACACAACGTATCTCAGCTGTATCAATCAAGCAATACACCTTTAACCCTAACTCCCTAGGCCTTTTTGCTAGGAAGTAGCCTCAATCCTGCAAAATCCTCCGATTGGCCTCATGGAAAAATAGCATATAGCCTCAGTCCTGCAAATTCCTCCGCTATTTCTTGAATATGGTCCATGGAGGGGTGACCACTGCCTGAATCCTGCAAAATCCTCCAGCTACAATGTATGACTGTCAATAGGCTGAGGCAGAGACAGTGACATACTGGAGCAGTGCGGAGGATGTCAAGTATAATCAAGGACTAAATTTATGCACGGCTGAGCATAAACAACACAAGGTCCGGCCCAAGACCTTGACACAGTGCGTACTCTGAAATCAGCAACGCACTTTTGCCATGTAACCTCAATCCTGCAAATTCCTCCAATTTGCAAAAAGGATTTTGGAGGATTCAGGGCGGTTAGGGTTAAAGTGTCTTCAGTATAAATGTACCATTGAAACAGTGAGGTAGACTACATGTAGAAGAAATCAAGTGATTTTTAAAATCACTTATTCAATACAATTTTATTTTTAAAGCATTTGTCAATTTATTGAGTTTTGTGGATGATGGGTATTATAGGAACCTGTAAACTCCTTTGTGATGCGTGTGAGGGTGCATGGGGAGATTTAGAAACATGTTTAGACATATCAATATTTTGAAAGTTAAAAAATCAAAACAATCTGATTTTAAATTAAAAAAATCTGATTTAAATCAAATAAATCCGATTTTTTTTTGATTTAAAAGAAAAAATCAAAAAAATCACCAACCCTAAAATGCACCAACTTGGGATGAAACAAAAACGACAAAATAAAAAAATTTCCTTACCTACCCCAGTGTTCTCCAACATGTAGAACAAACCTGGCGCCCCGCCATGCTTTCTGCGGCGCCCGCCATGTTTAAGAAGTCCCCGCCAAGCTTTAAATCCTGCCGCCAGGTTTAAATTTTTGACTCTACAGTGTACATTTACAACTAAAAGAATTTAGAAACAAGAATGACCACTTCATTTTCGAATAAAATTAAATGACTTCCCGCTGAACCTAGTCTAAGTTTGCGATGCGAGCGGATCATAACTCACTATTCTCTAGCTCTATGATCAATGCAGTTTAGTCTGGTTCTGACCATTCCGTTCTCCTCTATCATCATATTATTCGGGGATCGTCTGGTAACAAGATGTACCATTGTTCCATGCAAAATAATGCTACACGACCTACGTACTGTACGTATACGTACACGTACACACGTGTACTGCTTTGGACTGCAGGCCTGGCGACGTGCGTGGTGTTCTTATTCCTCCATGGTTAAATACGTTTGCGGAATTTGCAGCGGGCATTGGCATCGTTTTTAATAGTCTTTGACTAAAGGATGTTTTAAACGCTAGACTTCGGCGTTAACCCTAACCCCCTAGGCCCTTGTTGCTTACAACCATCCTCAATCCTCCAAAATCCTCCGAAATTTTTCAACTCCGCCTAAATTTTTCAAAATTGTCAGACAGTCCTGCCTCAAAATGCATTCATCCTCAATCCTCCAAAATCCTCCTCATCCCAAAACTTTGCACTCGTGTTTAAATGAAGGATAACCAACGCCAAATCCTTCAAAATCATCAGACAGTCCTGCCTCAAAATGCATTCATCCTCAATCCTCCAAAATCCTCTTGTGCTTCATTCACCATTCATCCTCAATCCTCCAAAATCCTCATGTGCTTCAATCACCATTCATCCTCAATCCTCCAGAATCCTCATTTGATTCAATCACCATTCATCCTCAATCCTCTAGAATCCTCCAAAACCGCCAGGAGGATTTTGGAGGAGTGAGGTGGGTTAGGGTTAAGGCTAACTTTTGTTGGATGTTGTATTCCATGAACTTCAGTTGTAGATAGCCTTATATAAATATAATAAAATGTTTCGTTTGCTTCCCAGTAAATTGCAGGGCTTGAAATGACGGCCAGTGCCGTCGTTGCCTTCTCACTGGCCGAGGTGCCCCACAAAAAATCCCCGTCTTCGGCGGCCAGTTTTGCCTTGCCCCATATTTACCTTGGCCGTCGTGCCCTTTTTGCAAAAACATCCATCAGCCTATAAAAACCACTACAATCCTTGATTTCAGTTGTTTTTCCACACATTGACAATGTATTTCGATGTCATCCCAGCCCGATCGGGGTTGTCTTAAAATCTCACTGAATCAATCACACGCACGGCCGGTGTAGCGTGAATATCCGACTCCATGAAATGTGGACTCATTGGTAGTACTGCGCACGCGTGAGTACGACACTAGGCTATTTTTAGGATCGTTTCGGGAGAGTGACCTGTCACGTTCGAGGGATCAACCAATAATAGGGAAATAGGGGTCCGATTTTCATAGGAGTCGGATTTTCATGTGACACCGGCCGTGGCCAAACACCAGCGATTCCCCATGCACTGTACGTAGTATGACTTTATTAGGTACACGATGTACACACACTGCACTGACAACTGAATCTCCAGTTCCGGAGTGTGCCGATACTTCAAGTAGCGACAACCCCGCCGCAAAAATATATATCTGTATTAGTACACACACACACCAGCAGGAGTACGTACGGCAGAACTTACGTGCAGCCAACCGACTTTCTTTTTCTCAGTGCTTGCACGCGCGGTACACAATATAATACGCATTGATGTTCTAGTACGAGGCAAATGAGCTCGAGGGCAAAACACGCGTGCACATGGTGTTCCGATCATGCCGATTGTCAAAAGTTATAAATGGCGATCGTGTATGGGCCCGGTTCCCTAAGAGAACAAAATCCACTTTTAATTTATTTGACTTACCAAACTAGTTGGCGACATTAAGAACATACAGGTAGGTCATAAATGGAGGGAAATTTGGGGGGGAAATGACGATGACAACGACAAAACGCAACATGAAAATAAAGATGACGATCGCACGGCACCGGCACCACCCATAAAATCGCATACAAAAACCGTAATTTGTATCCTTTTTTTTTTTTCAAAATTACAAAAAGGTGTCATTTGATCTGAGAGAAGTCTGCTTTAGGTTGAAAAAGTAATTTTTGAATGCTAAAAAAATCGGGGGAACTGGCCTGGAATCGCCTCAGATTGCACCACAGAGCATCTAGAATCCGGTTGTAGTTTCTTCAAAAATATTAATTAATTTTCTTACACCAAATGTTAAATTAAAATACTTGTATACTATCATCCTACTTTGTAATGAAGAGATGTCGTCTTTTCTTCTGGATTAATGGTTGCAGAGAGGTTTATTTTTTAGAAGGTAAGTAAAGCGAAGTAGGTCAACTTTATAGCTGTGTATTTTCCCCGACATATTTTGTAAGGACTGACCATGTAGACTGGTTCTCTGTTCCAGGAGGCTGATCGCAGTCACATCACACTAATATTGACATATCTTTTCTGTTTGTCTTTTCTTTCTTGGTAATTTTCTTTTTTCTTCAAGGGATTCCAGGTCGCGTTCTCGATCACACTCCAGAGGAAGACGTGGCAGGTAATAATAATTCAATTTTGAGTAATCTTGCAAACCCATGCAATGACAATTGCTTAGTTTGGCACAGATATTCAACACTTTTGGTTCCTCTTATGTAAAACTTGGATTAACCCTAACTCCCTATGCATTTTTGCTAGGATGTAACCTCAATCCTGCACCATCCTCCAACTGCCTCCATTTAAAAAAAACCATATCCTCAATCCTGCAAAATCCTCCGTTATTTCTTGAATGTGGCCCTTAGAGGGGTGACCACCGCCTCAAAACTGCAAAATCCTCCGGCTGCGACTGTTGGTATGTTGAGGCAGATGCAGTGACATCCTGGAGCAGTGCGGAGGATTTCAAGTATAATCAAGGACCAAATTTATGCAACACAAGGTTCGGCCCAAGAACTTAACACTGTGTCCTCCGAAATCAGCAACGCACTTTTGCCATGTAACCTCAATCCTGCAAATTCCTCCAATTTGCAAAATAAGGCAACTTTTTTTGGCCATTCAGCCCTAATCCTACAAAATCCTCCAGAACTGCCCGGAGGATTGAGACAGTTATTTTTCAACAGTTTAGTGTTGGGTTATTCCAGTTTTATTCCAAATATTTGAATATTTGATTTTGAAAGACACAGATCAAGTTGAAACTTTGGCCAGCCTGAAAGGCAATATACAACATTTGCAAATTTCCAAAAGCAGAACAACTAAATTATGACAATGGAATACTCTACTTAATAGTAACATCGAGGCACTTGGTATGCTGACATTTTCAAGAAAGGTTCAATTTTTATATCATTTTCACACGATGGTCGGCTGACCATCGTTGGAATTATTATTTTTTTCTTCCAAATACTGCAACCAATTACACAAATTTAGTTAGTCCACATTTTGTTTGCAATTGGTTACGCATCTGTGAGCGGGTGCAAGCCAGATAGACTGGTTCCCTGACCTTACCATTCCCCGACATCTATAATCCCTGTTTCATCTGAAGTGGGGGTCAGGTAACCAGACTATACGAACACGATTTGTGTTGGTGGTGTTTCCAGCATTGATGAATACAAAACTTGAACAAAACAAATCATGGTGACAGTATTTGCAATAGAATACAATAGTCCTACTAACCCCAAATCCATCCATTTCTGATCAATTACAGCACAAGCAAATGATGTACAGTCGAACACCTTTAGAACAAAGTCCTTGGGACTTTACAAATTCCCTTGTTATAACAGGTACATTGAATTAACAGTAATGGAAGACGAAGGAAAACAAAGACTTGGGACCTTCAATTTTGCTTGTTATAAGCAGGTGTTGTATTAACAGTGCTCTTCTTATCAGGGTTCGACTGTAGATTCCCGTTAACTTAACGCCTAACAGCATTTGCATTCATGTCCCTTATATTAACCCAAAATGGCATCATAACAGTGCACTTAGTTATTCAAAAATATGGCCTAATGAATGTGTAGACCTTAATCAGGGTAAACCATCTTGAAAATCAAATTGAGGCATATAATATACATAATTAAAGTTATTCCACCCTTCTTCAAAATACAATGAGATGTGACCTACCTAGAGTGTTGATTGATGATTTTAGGAATTTGAGCTATCCATACATTTGTAATTGTGTCAGTCTGCTGTGACTTTCCAAAAGTCACTGGTGCACTGCACACACTATTGACGCCGCCATGTTTGTTTGCGTAACATGCCTTCCTTTGATTTTCAAGATGGCGTACCCTGATAAAGGTCTATTACAGCCTCGACTCCATGGGCGCGTACGCGCTCCTTACATTAACCCCTGGCCGTGATGATGACGTAAATGATGCTGATTGGCTATTCACAGCGTACTGCGCACGCATTTAGAAGATTGCACGCCGGGCGCGCCTATAATGCGCTCGCGTGCTTTGCACGTAACATAACGTACGAACAAAAAATTGTTATTCAAAAGACGCGATGCCTGTACGATATGGATTATGGCAGCCTCGTTTTTCGCTAAAAAAAACCCTGTATCTTCGGTTGTAAAGGGACAAAAGGGGTACGTACATTTAATACAAATCTTTGCTAAATAACGCAACGTCCAAACGTTTTGTTTGAAAGGATTGATTCTTCAAAATCACAACTTTTAAGACTTTAAAGATGGAGTCGGCACGTAAAACGGATAAACTGCAGCCTAATTATAATGTGCCATATTTTGACACATTTAAATTACACAATTCCAGGGGTTATGATCGCACGAGGCATGATGGGAAACAACATGGCGCAGCACGATCGTACCCATGGGGAACGAGGTTGGGTCTATTACCACAAGTGTATAGCATTTTGTGGAGCCACACTATACTGATCCAATTTTGAAGTTCTTAACCACTTCGCGCTGGGATTATTTTTGCTAAAAACTATTTTTGCAATAGGCAGAATTTTGCAGCAAGGTACAGCCAAATGCCACAAATACTGATTCAGAAAAGTCATTTCAATGGTATTTCAACGATAGGCGCTATTTCTTGCTGAAACTTTATATGCAGTACTTATGCAACCCACACCATCACACGCCTAAAATCTTCTCGAGAAGTGCGAATAATCGCAAGCCTGAATCCCACTGTACCGCACACCTCGGCACACATTTACGGCAACATTTTACTTAATAATTTGTAAAAAAAAATTAAAAAAAGTATGTCGGTGAAGAGAAAAAACAAAGACAAGATGAATATCATAAAAAGTACAAGATTGTTCAGTTCCAACTTAGACCACAGAATCACAACCCTAGAAAAAGCACGCGCCCTTTTGGTGTGCTTTTTGCACATGCCTTTGATTTTCAAATCAGAAGGTTTGCAAAGGTTTCAATACTCAGGCGTGCACTGTAGGTACAGTAGGTCCTGCATAATGGCCAATTTAAGATTAAAACACGGTCCACCTCCATACCACAGACGTCACCCGGAGGCGAGTTGAGGCAATCTTGACGTTTTAACCTATCAGCCATGCCTGTTCACAAAAACAGTCAGTGCGTGTCATTACGTTCTCTGACGCGATCTGGTCAAGACATTTTTTTCTTTTCATTTTTTGTTTTCATCGTGATGTAACATTTTCATCTCTTCAAGGTTCCATCTGTGTTGGAATGCTATTGGCTGAATTGCTTTGAGTGTTTTGTGTCTTCACAAGATTAACCCTAACCGAACTCAACCCATCAAAGCCCAACAGCAGGTTTTGTTTAAAGCTATAGTCCATCATTTGTAATTTGTGCATTTTGTTCGTTTGAAGCAACAAAAGGGTTCAAAATCTAATGAAGGATACTGAACAACTAACCTGATGAAGTTTCAGCTAAGCTTCAGCTGTACATTCCGAGAAAAACAGCATTCTAAGATCTCAATTTCAAATCGAAAGTTACTGAATCATGTTTTGAATTGTTTTGAATTGCAGCTATACGCAACATAGCGCACTGATCCGACGAATTATAACAACCTTCTTAAGAATCACCGTTGGAAATGCCTTCTTTCGTTGATTACTTCAAAATGACAGCTTCCCAGAAGGAATAATTTCACAGGGAGTTTAGTTCCCTCACTATCTTTCAACCAAGTTTGTTTTTCAACAATAATTACGCCAGTTACTTTTCGGATGGCTGCAAATGATGGACTATAGCTTCAAATCTGTTGGGATAGGTAAAGTACCCCTTAAATGATGGTCTTTTACATTGGGTTTGGCAGACCTCCAGAAACTAAGTCCAACAGTGTGTGTGTGTGTGATTTCCCACGTGGGTGTTGGAATTGGCCAGAGTGGGTGTGGTTCCTAGTAAATTATGCTAGGGAGTGAGGGTTAAAGTATTCCTTGACTTTTACAACTCTCTTGATTTTCTCCTTGTGCAGATCTCGTTCCCGCTCGCCTCGCCGCTCTCCCCGGCGCTCCCCACGCAGGTCACCACCCTACCGTCGGCGCCGGTCCCCGTCTCACTCCAGGAGCCGTTCCCGCAGCCCGCCTCGCCGGTCTCACTCCCACTCCCCAGCCAAGCGTAGGAGCAACAGCCGCAGTCGCTCTCGTTCTGGCTCCAAGTCACCCCGGCAGAGGATGCGATCACCTTCACGATCCCGCTCCCGCTCTCGCTCTAAATCCGGCTCCTACAGCTGCAAGGATTAAGATGCAAGGATGGAGGCGAAGAGCTGTGTGCTACCCCCATCGCCCGGCATCAGCGTCTTGGCCTCGAGATGCTTGACATCAACAGACCTCCGATCTGATGATGCCCGACGCCTGATTTTTAAGGTCAAGATAACGTTTTAAAATTGTTCACTTAAAATCAATATTACATAAAGAATGCAGTGCATGTTGAATAACTGTAGGTACAATGTAAATGGACATTGCAACTTCAAAGGGGACTACATTCGTATTTTATCATCATAACTAGCTGGATTATATGAATCTGCAGAGCTGGACATTGCATTTGTATGAGGAATGTCGGAAGGGATTTACTTAGTTCTTACTTGTAAACTTTTGATTTAGAGCACCATATATAAATTGTTGTATTATACACAGAAAGCATATTTTGAGGGTGTTTGTTACTACAGGGTGAGTCAAAAAGAAGTTGACCGGGATTGGTGATGTTTTTCAAAACAAACAAATGACATTGAAAACCCCAGTGAAGCACATATTAAACGAGCATTCTTTTTTGCTTATCTGAAAAAAAGAATGAAACAAATTGATCATTCCTAAAGAGAAGTAATGCCTGTTTTACTGAAAGCACTCATGTTTGCAGCTGTCCATGGAATGTTAATGTACACAGCTAAAATGCTTACTTTACATTTGTTTGTTCAAGTATTCCGTGGACAGCTTGCAAAATGAGTACCTTTATTAAAATAGACATAACTCCTCTTAGGAATGATCAATTTGTTTCATTCTTTATTTTTCTAATAAGCAGGAGAGAGTACTTGTTAAATATATGCTTTACTGAACTTTTGAGTGTCATTTGTTTGTTTTGAAAAACATCACCAATCCCGGTCAACTTCTTTTTGACTCACCCTGTACAGTGCATATGTGTAGGTCTCTTTTATTTTTGCTTGACTAGTTTCATTTTCACATATTCATGTGCTTTTTTGCTCATACTAGGGTAACCTTCACTATGAACATCTCTAATGTCAAGTATCCCACAAAACTTAAAAGTAAAAGTCAAAATCAGCAAAACTTTAAACCTGGATTCTGTCGGTTTGCGGGCAGTATTGCAAAGTCTGCAGCGACACTGCGACAAACATCTATTTGGGGGGGAAAAGATACAAATTGCACCTATTTTTTTACATGGATTGACAGTTTTTGTCACCCTGATTTTGGTTTTCTATAAGTTGATTGAATGCAATCCTATTAATCTAAGTATAAAGGGATTTTATGTTATTGTTGGTCAGATATGCAAATGGATATTTTTTTCTTGTGTTTACATTGATGAAAAGGGGTACCGAAACTGTAAAGTCACATTGATTGTTGTGGGCAGAGATGAAACGACTAATATGTAAACATTTATTCAAACATGAACATAGAAAACTTTCAATATTTGCTTTTGAGTTTCACTTGTCAACAAAATATGATTTGTTTGTTATGTGTAATTGTGGGGTGTTTCTTTTTAGCGAAATGTTTAATTTTGATTCCGTCTCAAGAAGAAAGAAAAATTGCTCCTTGAGTTTTTGCCCTGAGATCTACAAACCCTCTCATAAAATATCAAGTTATTTGAGATAATTTTTTGAATTGATTGTTGTAGGAAATCTGGATTATTCAAAACAAGAAGGGCTGTTGTAAATTTGACGCCAATTTCATGTACATGGGCAATTCCACAATTACTTGCATTACCCATTTGTGTGTCCTTTTACATTGATTGTTGTGGTCTTCATACTGGTTGGACTACCTTTTAACTTTTTTGCATACACATAGCCAATATTTAAAGTGTTTTTCCTGATGACAACAAAAGAGTAGTATGTTCCCTCATTTGAGCATTGCTCTCTTTGAAAATGTGGAATAAGCCATTTGCAAGTAACCTACACCCTTTGGGATGTACATTTGAAAAACATCTGGTACACTGACTTTCTCAGAATGCTTGGCACATTTTAATTATGACTTCTCCAGACCAAAGCCACTGTTGCTAATCACATGATTCGGGGCAAGCTCTTCCATAGTTACATAAGAGATGCTCAGCGCCAATACATTGTTCACAATGTGTAAGAATGGCACAAAGACACCAGACCATGCCGGAGCTGTGGGTTGCTAGCATAAGGCTTGCCCCGAATCACGTGATACAGTAACAGTCTCTTTGGTCGGGAGAATGCAAAGTTCAAACGTGCAAAGCATTGGATTTAGTCAGCGTTCCAGATTTTATTCAAACGTAGCTCGCAAATGGCTTATTGCCCACATGTAATACATTTCAATGCTCTTTTGGTAAAGTTAATGTTACACATGCAGCGCAGATTTGGGTTTTTAAAGGAAACTGTTTAAGCATAGGTAACACACTGTAATTGTAACAATTTCTTTTTAAGTGCATGTATTTTATGTGTTATTCAGTGGCAGTAAGTGCCCACTTTTGGTTTGTCATATTAAAAGTAAACAGGTGTTGTGGCATATTCTAACTTGCAATTTCCCTTGTTGTTTTCTTGCTAATAGGATGCAGTATTCTGCTAAGCAGTTTATGCAGTTAGTAATAAAGTCGGGCAGTGGACTGCAGTAAGGCAGACCTGGTGGGTGTTTCAAAACACGGTACCGAGGTAGCGGGTGTTAGCAGTGGTTGCAGTTTGGCCAGAGTTTGCCGGTGATTTGGCAGCGTCAATATAGCAGCTGCAGGCTGGGGATGGCAGTCACTTGTGGCAGTGCTGAAAATCAAAATATCCAGTTGGGCAGCCGAGCTTTGCTGTTGGCAGTGTGTATTCTCTAGCGCAGACGTGGCAGTACCGTGTTAGCTGAGCCCTAGGTATCGGTGTGTTGGCAGTTGACACTGTCTCACGAGATCGTGGGTGAAATCCAGGGGGAGAGCAGTGCCAGGTCATCTGCTTGCCGTTCTGTTCAGAGGTCTGTTGCTGGCAGTGCTGTAATGACCAGGGGTAGCTGTGGCTGATAAACATTCACAGCTCACACAGAAAATGGGGCAGTGCAGAAGTTGAGTGTAAGTTGAGCATAGATCTTTATGTGCATGCAGAGCTAAATTAAATTGTTCTCGTCATCTCAGTGTCCCAGCACATTTTGTGGATGATTAAAAAAACTCCGTTAACTTAACTTAAACGGGATTGTTAAACGATACTTTTATTTATGACCGAGAAAGCAAATTCCATGAAAAAATCATGAAAAGGAATATATGACCACCATGTATCCTAAAAACCATAAAACTCGGTGACTTTCTCAACATATTAATAACCCTTATCAGCATTTCTGGAAATTTTGAATTTTAAGTGCCGCCCTCTCAAAGTAGGTTGCAACTGCAGAGCCTAGTTTGGCGCTGAAAAACAAAATTAAGTTCCTTAACAATAACTTCATCAGCCGTCAGGGGAAATGCCAGGAGTCTTAATTTGGAGAATAATTACTTCAAGAACCTTGAACAAGGGTGTTGAAGCACCATTGTCATATGTTGATATTTGAACTTTTTGAACAGAATTTACATAGGAACTTATTCCTAAAATAAAATCTTCACTCCTTACTTTGTAGGTTGCTAGGCTGTTAAATATGAAATGACGGGAAACATTCTGTAGGAAGTACAATGTAGTGAGTAATTCAACAGAATCTGTTCACCCCCCCAAAAAAAAGAACCCAGGAGTGGGCAATTTTTCTTTGTCATCAAATTGGCTAAAAATGGGGGGGGGGGGTAGTTTCCCGAAAGAGGAACATTTTCTCCAAGTTGCCTCTGTGATCTTATATCAAAAAGGCACAGAAATATCTGATGGAAGATTACATACAAACCTGTAAAAAGGTTTATCAAGTTTCAACGGGGCTTTTATAGTTGATAACACTAATGGTGGCTAACATACGGCATACGATGTCCCATAGTTCTTCAATTAAATTTACGTACCCAGTCACAACATGCCCATCATTCTTTTACAAGTTCAGTTCAAACTCAAACTGCTCTAAAAGCTGCACAATGTAGGTGGGTTCCCCTAATCAGCTTTTCCCCAACAGGCAAGGCCAGAGGAAGTGCAGCAAAAGGACACGGGAGTTTATGCCCTGCGATAGCAGCTTCTGCAGTTCTGTAAGTATGCTGATAGTAGACCTGAGATGTGTAATGACATCACTATTTGCTATTACATTTGTACAATTGTTTTCTAATGGATCCAGGTGGAGATGAATCTCATTGTTCCCACCTGGCTCCCATGGAGAGCCTAGTAAAATCTGGTCCCAGAATGCGAACAATGACATTGAAGTGATTCAGAATGGTAAATCACCGGGAGCCAGTTCATGCATCTGGTGTGCATAGTGACCGTTTTAGCCGATTTTCGGCTAACTTCGAAAGATTTTTTGTTAAAAAACGAGTTTGACAGAAAAATTTTGCAGAACGGATTTTTTGGGCAGATTTCTGGCAGAATTTTGTAAAAATGGTAATTTGACAGAAAAACAGCAAGTTTGAAACAAAATGGTACATTTGTTTTCAATCTTTTCAAACAAACCCTTGAAAAATAGGACAGGTTGCCTGGTTTAGGCGCGCGGAGGTTCACTGGAGCGAGACTTCGTCGTGATGTAACTGCGTTTGGCCTGAAATTTATGCAATTCAATTACATTTTTTTGTGACCATAGATTTATTTATAATGTAATTTGAACCTTAATTTAAGGCAATAGTACAACATCTGCATGTGATTTTAAGGGTGTATAGTGTATTTCGAGTAATTCTGGGCAATTTGGCAGATTTGTGAAGTGCATTTAGCAGAATTTGGCCATGACCTTACGGACACCCTGCTGGTGTGCAAGTCGGAGGTCGAGTTAACCCACTACCGGGTAGTGTAGACGAATCGGGGCACGTGGTCAGTTAGCCCCATAAATGTGGCCAATTTACTGGACTACCTCCGTAAACATAGGCCACACATCCACATGTACAAAAATGTGTCGCACTTTGTCAAATTTTGATTTTCACATTGAGGCTTAGTTTGTAGGGTTTTTTTGCTTTAGAAGCATACTCACCCTCTTTATAGGCTAATCAGAAAGTGCTGCCTTTTTCAGATGTCTATTTTTCGTGAAATTTCCAGATTCATTTGCACACGTTTGCGTATCAAAATTTCAACATGAAATTTCACGAAAATTAGACATCTGAAAAAGGCAGCACTTTCTGATTAGCCTATAACGAGGGTGAGTATGCTTCTAAAGCAAAAAAACCCAAAATTTGACAAAGTGCGACACGTATTTGTACATGTGGATGTGTGGCCCCTGTTTACGGAGGTAGTCCAGTAAATTGGCCACATTTATGGGGCTAGTGGTCAGTGTACACTCACGAGGCCCCCTTCAATGGAGAAACCATGGTGCGCGCTATTGTACCAAACAACTGCCCCGTGACGGTTTTATCTCAACAACAGCTAGCACAATGCTTTCTCCATCTGAAGGGCGCTCTGTGATCGAAGTGATAGCATGCATGGATAGTACTTTACGAGTTCATGTACATGTACAAGCAAGTGTTCACCGCCGGTCTCTCTTCAACAGCCAACAACCAGGCTAATTCACAAGTGACGTCGAGTCAGTTGGGTAAAAAGGGTCTAAAGGCTGGCCCTACCTGAGGCTAGCAAAAAATAATGCTGTCATAAGGCCAAAAAAAAAAGTCTCCGGTTTCTGGTATGGAGCTTGCCCAAAAAGTGGTGCAGCGATGCGGCTTTTTTTTTTTTTAACCCGTTTTTTTTTGCTTCAAATGTCGGCGGATGACTGCAAATGGTGCCCGACTAAACTTAGTGCAAATATATGGGAGTCCAGAGAGGCCACATAAAGCTTATTCTCGATCATAACCCCATCTAAAAACACGTTCAAATTGCGCAGCAGCAGAATTCCAGTCAAACCAGTGAGTTTGGCGGTTTTGAGACATCATCTTTCATTGAAAAAAAAACTTTTTCATTTTGCCGACGCGCATGGCTACGGCGACGCGCGCGCATACCAGAAACCGGAGACTGTTTTTTTTTTGGCCTAACTATATTTGCTATATATTTCCAACCCCCCAATTCCATCCATTTCTGAAAATTACAGCAAAAGCAAATGATGTATATTCCCTTTAACTGTCTGCGTCGGGGCCGTATCATAAGTCCGACGCCTCATAGGTCCGACGCCTCAAAGGTCCGATGCCTCATAAGTCTCAAAATTTCGGACTTATGAGGCGTCGGACTTATGAGGCATAATATTTATTTATTTCGCATCATTGGTCCGACGCTCATAAGTCCGACGCCTCTTAAGTATGAGGTCGGAAAACTGAGGCGTTTAATTTGTCGGACTTACGAGACGTTGGAGCTATGAGGTGTCGGACCTATGAGGTGTCGGACCTATGAGGTGTCGGACCTATGAGGCATCGGACTTTAGCCGTCGGACCTATGAGGTGTCGGACTTATTGGCCTTTATTTGGCTAGTCGAACTTATGAGCGGACCCCATCTGTGTCGTTGCAGTCCATCGAAGTCGCATTGCACTGCACGTGCTGAAGCCAATTTTATGTTGCAATAGCACATGTATACTTGTCATGATTGTGCTTATATCGCCTGTGTTGTAATTTCGCTCCAAAATCAAAACCCTACCCTCTCTCCACCAAAACAATCCTTCCACATGATGTTGCCAGCAATTTAGGTGAGACCAGTAACTGAAATATTTCGTTCTCTTAAAGGAAAGGGGTCCTAAACTAAACGATCGCCCCAATAAGGGACTGAAATTCCCTGGTGCATGAATCAACTGAGAAGTTGAAGGTCAAGAGTGCTGACTTGCATGCATACAGCGAAAATGCATTTGGTTGTAATCTAAATGCAAAAAAAAACAACCCCAAAATGACGAATACATGTACATGTGTACATACATGATAGTACTTCTAAATTCAGCTATTGCTGGGACAATCTCTCGTCTTAAAAGTTGAAGGGCTCACCACGTGAGTTGACTGTTTCTGGCATGCATCATATTGCGTTAAATCTTATCAGTTGATCTTGGTTTTGAATTCAAAGGGTTCATGCGAAACAATTTTCTGAGGATCACATTTTATGCAACTTTCTACTCTTAAAATATGAAAACTATTTGGCATCCCTTTTTGGTAAATTTTATTGAAAAGTGCACTTCTTACATAAACAATTTTTGAAATTTCTATTATTGTCCAGACAACTGAGGGCGCTGTTGATGTACTGTGATGTCATTCCAGGAAGACACTGTTCAGTTTAGGGGTTTTGTGTTCAAAACAGTGAACCCAAAACTTGCTCATTGAAAACAGTTGAGAAAAGATTGCTCACTTGCTTACTGCCATGTACAAAATGTGCTTGCACCGCAATGAACCACCATAGAAAGGAAAATCACATGTACAACAAAATATCCAACATTCTAGCAACTTTTTGTGCTGGAAATTTGCATCATCATAAAAACCAAAAAAAGGCACAAAAATACCCTTTAAAATTTTAAAACGAAAATTGAGTTTAAGGTTTAAAAAGGTACACAAACGTGCATTGTCAAGGATTGTATTCATAAAAATACAATGTACAAGTGATAAGGAAACAACTTTTTTTGTTTGCTATTTACTGTGCAGTGTAAATGTTTAAATTTTATGACGTGGATTTGACGTGAAATAAAACAACTTGGAAATATGCATTTTATGTATACCTGTGCTGTATTGTTAATTTCTTGGTAGTATTCTCAGTGTTTCCTACTTAAAAGGTCTAAGGCCAAATAAAATAAAAAAAACATGTTTAGTGTCCCCGCCCCCTTCCTTTTTGGGGGGCCGCCTCCTTTTTTTTCTTTTTTTTAAATTAAAACTTGAACCGAAAAAATAATAAATTTTAAACAGTGACATCGTTTTGGCCTCTTTTTCTGTTGCATCTAGCCCATATGCATGATGCTTTTTTTATTTGGCCTAACAGACTTTATAAATGTAAAGGTCGCGTCTGGCCCAGCCTCGACTCCAGTGGCGTGTGCTCGTTCCTTAACGCGCAAGGCATGATGGGAAACAACATGGCGCTGCAAGATCGTACCCACGGGGCACGAGGTTACGTTTGGCCGAAATGGGTATAGGGCTATTAAATAGTTTCCCCCCCCCCTTTTACTCGTCCTTTAATACAATTTTTCATTGTATTGGGCACATTTGGGCTGTTTGAGAGTTAGAAAACAACCTTAAAATCAGCATATTTTGTTACCACAATTTATATACATGTGTGTATATTTGTTTGGGGGGGGGGGGGGGGGGGGGTCCATGGCCTACTCCCCGCCGGTCGCGAATTATATTTTACCAAACGAGATCCGACAATTCGCTCGTACCCCCCGCCCTGCAAACAGGGCGCTGCATGGATAGGGGTGATGAGCTTCACAGAATCTTGTGAAGGAAGTACAGTTTGACCTTCGCATGCAGCTAGCGCGTGCTACGCAGCCTCGTCCCCAGTGCTTACTTTATTTCCAACCGCGTTTCCAATAGTAAACCCTGGATAGGAAACTTTCTTCCTGTATCCTGATTGGATACCGCAATTGGCTAGTAATGGATTTTTATCGTGTACTTGGCGCTATATATTCACAACGTGCAGTACGTGTTTTCGCGATCATTCGTCCACGCCTTCTCGAAAATACTAATTTCCTTTCCAATTTGCTCATATTAATATGAAATATGATACTGCATGTTGTCTCGATAAGATCGTAACAGTTTGATTTCAAAAATCGTGTTTTCGTAACTCACGCCGTGCTCGCGCTGCTACGAATTGACTCTGTTTTTACCCCAGACACCGCATACAAAAACAAACGCTAATGTGTAACGCATATCCAGGCACCAGACTGTTCCTCATTTGCATACGTGTGCAAAAATCTTGCACATGCAAATGATCCAATACCAGGGTGAGAGAGCAGGTAGTGGTGGGCGCGTACTACTCGACACCCTGGGGACGAGGTTGCGTGCTACGCATGATGGGCACCGGAAGTGTGACGCGTTCTACGTCTATCCCATGGGAGCTCAAATGACGTCAGCCCTTACCAGCGTAAATAAAATATTGGCGCGCGGCCAGCAGTTGTTGACTCAACATTAATGCACTGAACTTATTCAAGCCCCATTGAAAACAGTGCAAAATCAACAAAGTACAGGGCCAAAAACATGCAAGCCGACACCACTGGGGTTTCTCAAACAAAAAATTAAATTATTGTCTTGTCCGTCCATCTTTTCATTTCTTTTCAATTGGCCTTCAATTTGGCTTGCCAATAAATATTCACACCAAAACAAGTGGCATCCCTCCACTTTCTCAGTCAAATAGGACCCCCTTTTTAACCGTAATTTTATCAAGCCTGCCCTCAGATGGAAGTCTAAAAATCCTGATTTTAGATTCTTTGCTATATTTACACAATTCTACCGTGTTTAAAGTCAAACGGTCTATTTTGTTTCAAAAGAAGTTATGTGGGGCAGGGTCATGGGCGTCGCCAAGATTTTTTTCCAGAAGGGGGGGGGGGCCGGGGCCAAAGCACAAATTTTTCCGAACAATTTCTTAACTTTTGAATACATTCTCAATTTATCATACTGAGCGTGGGCAGGGGAACATTTGCCCTCCCCCTCCCAATCAAATTAACAGCAATACACACCCTGGACATGATGAATATGCAGAACATGCATTACATAGAGAGAGAGAGAGCGCCCTCTTTTTATATTGTCGGATTTCGCTCGTGCCCCATACATAGGAAAGCGCACAAGGTACCCCAGATAGTTGTGTAATAAAAAATATCGCTGGCCGCGCCGTGCGCCGATGGAGAACGTTCACCGAGAATATCAAAAGAGGGCGCACTCCATACGGCGCGTGGGATCTGTCAAAAACGAAGCTTTAAAGGGAACTAGAACTGAGGAAGCAGGAAGGTGGCACTTCTGTCTACGTGAACTTCATCAGCTGTCTCTCAAGTTCCACTCCTAGCTTAAGCTATCGCTCGTGCCTGACTGTGGAAAAGGAGTCGACTATGCACTGGAATGATTTCTGCGGTGGTTGGCAACTGTGGGTACGTAAATAGTAACATTGATAAATACATACAATTCTGTATCTGTATGCTACTGCACAATCGCCTATGGTGGGCTATCACGTGCAATTTGGTTGCAATAAACCGCGGAAGTATAAACAGACCAGGCCTATACAGTACAGCTACACGCATGCGGTATGCACATTGTGCAAAATTGCACAATACCCCGCCACTCGATCTTATGCACCTCTTATCCGGCTACAGGAGTCACGGTTGATTGCCTTCAATAAACCTTCTCAGCGCTACATGTGCGTCATGCTCCACTGCACTCCAACTCCGTATCCGCGTAGCCGGCAACAGGGTACCTAGTTGGTTTGGACTTAGTTAGGGTACAATTTTTTCAAGAACTCCCATTCATTTTGTGTTGCTTCGTTCTGAAGGAGACCCCCACTCAGTATCCGCGTAGCTGGCAATGGACTTGAATTGTTTCTTTTCCAGTGATTCCACTTCCAGCCTCGTAGCCAGAGAATTTAGGGGTGTATTTCCGAGTGGCAGGGTATTCTGCAATTACTCCACACATTTGCCCAGGGAACGAGGGGCACGGCGGGGACTCGGCAATAATGGCGCCTGCAACCGTATATCCCATAGTGGAGTTTTGCTTGCAGTACGCTACAGATACAGAATGTAATCATGGCGAAAGTGAAATTTTGTGAAGCTGTTGTGCGCTTTCTTGCCACTTGCACAAACATAAGAATGTGCATGTGCATTCTTATGATTGCGCAACTGCATCCTAGCGCAATCTTCGAAAAAAAAATCTTCCAGATAGAGCACACATTCTTAAGAATGCCCAACAAGAGAAGCGATCTTTTCGATGCCAAGAACCGGCTGCGCTTGGCAAGTCTAGCTGCACCCTCGTTCACTGATTAATTCTTGGGCCGTACTTAAATAAGTATACTGTGGCAATGCAAATTCATTAGGGAAAAGATATAACAATGTAAAGTTGAGTAGAGATGAAAGTATTATTATGCATATTAGGGGAAATAATAAGGGTGATCGTGTAGTGTAGGGCCCGGTTCCTATAATAAGGGAACGCAATCCCACTTTAAAATATTTGGACCTACCAAACTAGTTGGCGACATTCTAAATAAACAGGTTTGTCATGGATAGAGGGCAGGGTTTTGATTTTTTGAGGGAAATTTTGGGGTAAAATGACGATGACAGCGCGGCGACAACACGCTACCCCGAAAATAAAGATGGCGATCACCGCGCGATGTACCGTGAGCACGCACGGCGCGCTGAATCGCAAGGCACAAACCGTGCAGGAAAATCGTGATTTCTACCCCAAGAATCTGTTCAAAATCGCAAAAAGGGTGTCATTTGAATTGAGAAAAGTCTGCTTTTGATTGCAAAGGTGATTTTTGAGATAAAAAACCATTTTTGACTCTAATTTGATCAGTACAAAACAGGGGCCCCACACTTCACGATTGCCATAATAAGAGACATAGTTTGGTGGAAAGAATTCGAATAACAAAAAGGTATAACGTGTTTCTCATGAGCACTCAGCATGCGTGCATGTATGATGAGGGACTTGTAACTTGTCTAGACTAAACAAAGCACTTCCCAGACTAGTTCCCAGTCCTCCATTATTACAAAACTTCCCATGGGGGGACAGAAAAAAGCAATAATATTAGCTTTAATTGAATTCAAATTATCGTGGTTCAACGGGTACAGAAGCATTAGATCATTTTCTTTTCTCGTCATATGATTATTTCCCCTTTAACCTCTAATATGTTTAATTTAACATAATAATGCCGTGCAGTGTTTGTTAAGATTGCGCAAAATTCATAAATTGCGCAAGTAATATTCCCACGCAATCTTAAGAATGAGCGCTCATTCTTCAGATTGCGTGCTCATTCTTAAGAATACGCGCTCGTTTTGAAGAATGAGCGCTCATTCTTCAGATTGCGCAAATTGCAAGAAAGCGCACAACAAAGCCAAGGCGAAGGTTGGTTGGGCAACATCCATTTATTACTTTCATTATTCATGTCTTTTTAACGTGACAACTTAGGCTTGTTTTTATGTTTTAATAATAATAATGATTAAGTATCATCTAACTTGTTGTTGATGAGAATAAAATTCAGGGAGCAAATTCAGCATGCAGGCGGTTATATTAACTGAATAACTTGGACCATGGAGGTAGAATCTAATTCTACCTCCATGCGTGGACCATCACAATGGAGGTATGTTTTTCTACTTCGTATTATGCTATTACTATTAGTGGGTTGCAACTTGTCCTCTGTACTCCATTTGGGAAAGAATGTTGCAGCCTGACGCCACCTTCTTTCTTCATATCTCAAAAAAAAGTCAGTCATTGCAAACATGTTGAAAAGACATGAATCTGGGACTGAGAAACCTTTTCCAATTTTGTTAGGAAATGCTTTCTTGACTCTCCATGGACTTTGTACACAACCGCTGAAGTGGCGTATGGATACTACATGCTTTCCTCCATTTGTAAATTGTAGGCTGTATCATGGAGGTGTATTGAAACAAGAGAGCAAAAATACGATTCCAAAGAATTTATTGATGACAATAAATAGCAGTTGGAGGGGAACTAAATGAGATAAGGGTGGTCAAAATAAAGGAATACATTTTTTGAAATTATTTTTAAACTTTTGATTAGGCCCCCAAAATAATAGTTCTGCTTCCGGTTTCCCTACCTACCCTATTCTGACACCCCCCACCCTAATTTTTTTTATTGGAAAAATGAGAAAAAAACAAACACCCAAAACCATCAATTTCTACCTTTTACCCTTGACTACATGCAGACGCCTCCATATGATCGTACACAAAAAAAAATCGCCAAAACAAAAAATTCCCTGCCTACCTACCCTATTTTTGAATGCCATGTAATGGGAAGCAGAAGAATTTTTTGTTTTTGCCTTAGTGGCTATTAAAGTTCTGGCCTTTAAGCATAAGTGACAAAAATATTGTTGCAACTGCATATATTTTATCTCTGAGCTATGGTAGGTAGAACATTTCATATGCAAAACCTGTTTGTCCACTGATTTATACTCACAACACAGAATGCATTAGGCCTATGCTTAAACATTACCATTTGAAAAGACGGCGCGAACAATGAAGCCCATTTGAAAGGTATACAACAGTGACTGTTGATTGTTATGTAATGTTATGCAACAATGAACTTAAGCCTAAATGCTCCTTGGGTAGATGATCTTAACACTGACATGAATAATCGGACAGCCTCAATAAAAGCTACCAGGTCCAAATCTTTTGTTGGCAAAGTTTGTTACATAGAATAGTAGTAGTACTGGTACATGGACAAGCCTGAGTTTGGTGACTTGTATTCAATTTAGCATAATATAAATTTTCTTGCAACTTTTACTAAGTTTGTTTCACCATGCATGGCTAAAGGGCTATATTTTACTACTACTGAAGAAACAATTCAAATAAGTTAACTAGGTCACGTCGGATGAGGTGTACACATGCAAAGGTTTTGTGGTATTCGGAACGGATGACAGATAAACACGCAACGAGCAAGGCCGGAAATATTTGTCACTGTCAGCGACCCGCTCGTAGTGAGTGAGGCCGGAAATATCAGGGTGTGCTACCCGCAGATGACAGCCTGAACCCGTCTGGCAAAGAGGTTCGTGAAAAACAATGCCGCGCCTGGGATTGTCCGGTCAATGTCAAAATAAATGCGATGCGAACAAGTAGGTGAAAATTGCTGCCAAGAGTGGATTTCCTTCATTTTGAACCACCCTGTACAGAAAATTACATGGGAAAGAATGTACATGTATGTAGTATCCAGACGTCACTTCTTTGTTTGTGTACAAAATCTACAGAGAGTTGAGTTCATTTTCAAAGTATTTTCTAACAAAAATTGGAAATGTTCCTCAGTCCCAGGTTCATGTCTTTTCAACATTTTTGCAATGACTGACCTACATTGAGATAATTTATGATTGAAAAAGGGGGCATCCATGGCATCAGGATGCAACATTCTTCCCCTTACAGATTCAGCCACAGTGCTCAGTGCAGGCCTATCTACTGACCAGTACACAAGGACAACATGAAATCGCCAAACAACATGCATGGCCAATGCCCAATCTCAAAGTCCACCCCAGGACAAATTAAAGGGACACAGGGTATAGTGAAGGAGCTAACACATAAGGAAATCCTTAATAACAAAACAGAAACCCATGTGAGAGAGTATTTTATAAACAATAGAGATCTCAACCAACAGTAGAGAGCTAGCACTACTATTGAGAATGGAGGCTCTGATCTAAAGGAGAGCGAAGCTCTTTAATCCCCTGTAGAGAAAGCAAGGGCTCTAATCCCCACTTGAGAGAATATTTCATAAACAATAGAGATCTTAACCAACAGTAGAGAGCTAGTGCTACTATTGAGAATGGAGGCTCTGATCTAAAGGAGAGCAAAGCTCTTTAATCCCCTGTAGAGTAAGCAAGGGCTCTAATCCCCTGTAGTGTATTATAGTTATTGTAAGATAAGCAAGAAGATTAATTCACTGTGTCTGTGTGGTCACAACCAGGGGGCCCTCCTGGGTGAAGCTATACAAAGAAATTCAGAGAAATTAAAATAATGACAGACACTGCTTTTTGTGCCCCTGGTACAGATTGTTATGGGGGGGGGGGGGAGACTGACAATGTTCCGATGAAAATGCCTATTCCTTAGCACACCAGTTTTCATCGATGGCTATATACCTGGTACAAATAGAAACTAAGCAGTTTTAATATCATCCTTGTTTGAACATTTCTCAGTGAATACAAAAATGTACGTTCCGATGAAAATGCCTATATTCCTTAGCACACCAGTTTTCATCGATGGCTATACACCTGGCACAAATAAAAACCAAGCAGTTTTTTTATTATCCTGAAGTTGTTTGAACATTTCTCGGTAAACAAAAAATAAAAAATGTACGTTTTGTCACGAAACGTTTCTGGTTCAGTTTGAGACCTGTCTTAGGAACACTGTGTAAGAAAAAACAAGAGTGCAAACGCTGAAGCTCCTGAAACCCAAAAACTAAAAATTGCACGTATGGGGAGATTTTCATTGCCTGAATGCCCAACCCAATGTAGCCCAAATTGTACAGTCTGTCAGGTCATGGAGGAATAAGAACCCCTCCATGGTCAGGTTTACCAGAAAGACATTATTATTTATCTCTGATATCTGAGATCTCTGTCTTTGTTTTTCTTTCTAGAAACTGTGTTACTTTAAAAACCTTAAGTTGTAGTTAAACTGCTGTGCACACTAACAAACACAAAAGCATTTTGCCAGATGCTGGTAATTCCTTCCTCCATGGTGTTAGCAAAGCCAGGGCAACAGGCTCTTCACAGGCTCTGCGTTCATGCGTGGAGGAAACTCTTGGCCATTATTTATTTTTTCCCCCATGACCTTTAGAGAAAGAAGGTTAATCAAATACATGTACCAAAGTCATGTTAGTCCTGAAGGCTTGATAATACTAACACGCTAACTGACTTGCAGCCATGTAGGCCGGATATGTGTACATACTGCATGTATGTTTTTTTTTTAGTAAACTGGGTGATCTGGTACAGGGTGCCCTCTGGAGACATGTGCACAATAGGGAACAAAAGATTGTTTACGAGACAATTTCTATCGGTGAATACATCTCCACAAGGTTATCACGAAAATCGATATGGAATTTACTCAAAAAGTAGGAATTTCCAAGGTGTGTTGATCGCAAATTGGAGTATTTTATGTAAGGGATATTAAGCCCGAATTTCAGCCCAGGAAATTAATTCTGGTTAAAAAAAGAGCAGTTTGAAAGTACACTTTCAAACTCGAAAAACTTTACACGAGAACAAAGAAATGACTCCACAAGGATACAAATTCCAGACTCTGTGTCCGACTATGTTTATAACATAGAACCTTAGAGGAATATTACAGCCAAGCAGCCAAGCAAATGACTTCCAGAGAGTTAGAGACCAGTGATAAATCCCCATACTTCAAAATTATTTCATAAATATTCAAAACTCTCACAGGAGAGCAGGCTACACAGAACATTATGATCACCATGTCTCTTTCATTTTCCGTTCAATTTTTGTTGGGTTTTTGAGATATTCTCACCAAAAGTAGACCACCCCTAAAACGAATATTTCCCAAGCTGGAAAAGTAACCATTTTGAAAAAGGATCCCTCCACGACATGGCTAAATAGCGCCACTTTCGGACCCAATCGCATCCAAAATGCTCAGAATTGGAAGCCCCAAGTCCAGACCTAGAGGTTTAGTGCCATGTCTTCAATCCCCCAATTCCATGGCTCTCTAAACTCTCTTATATGTAGAATAATTTGAATGTATTTATACTTTTATTCTTGAGTTTGGTTGACGGATTTTTGGCCTATATGGGTGTACCCACAACGGGCCACAAGGATAGCCCCATTTTTTGCCAGCCGTACCTGAGTGACTGACTCCCCGACTCCCTGACTGACTGATCGCCTGCAAGCTACTTTTCCTGGGGGAAAGTAAAAGAGCATGCAGATTTCAAATTCAGAAAAGAAAAGTTGTCAGGAAATCCAGCATGCATTGATGGTTCTTAATATGGAGGAAGTCCAGTTACTTGAAATACATTGATGGGGATAACAACCTACTATTTACAACTGGAGTACAACAGACAATTTGCAACCCAGTCCAAGCATTAGGAGTAGGAAAACATCTCTCCATGATCAACATGTCCAAGTTATTCAATTAATTACCGCCTGCATATTCCATTAAGTTTATTCTCATCAGATGATAAGGCCAAAAAAAAAAAGTCTCCGGTTTCTGGTATGCGCGCGCGTCGCCGTAGCCATGCGCGTCGGCAAAATGAAAAAGTTTTTTTTTTCAATACAAGATGATGTTTCAAAACCGCCAAACTCACTGGCTTGACTGGAATTCTGCTGCTGCACAATTTTAACGTGTTTTTAGATGGGGTTATGATTGAGAATAAGATTTATGTGGCCTCTCTAGACACCCATATATTTGCACTAAGTTTAGTCGGGCACCATTTGCAGTCATCAGCCGACATTTGAAGCCACAAAAAAAAAAAACAGGTAAAAAAAAAAAAAAAGCCGCGTCGCCGCACCACTTTTGGGGCAAGCTCCATACCGGAAACCGGAGACTTTTTTTGTGTGGCCTAAACAAACCTAATTTGTTTTTGAAGACATGAATAATGAATGTACTACTGAACGGATGTGTTCATTAATTGACCTGTTGCCCAACCAACCCTCACCTTTTTAAAAAGAAATTTCAATTAATGGACGTCCGGTCCGTTGGTTGCTCGCTCGGCTGCTTGCTCGGTCGGTCGCTCTCTCGTGACCATTTACAAAAACCATAATGTAAATGGTCACAAATGATACAACATTTCTTATTTCTTGAAAATGGCAGCATATCAGGAAGTTTTGCAGATTGATAGATAATGTCATAAACTTAAAACCAACTTGAGTAGGGGAAATAAATGTGTGCTTGGCTGGTTTTAAACACTATATTTAAGACCAGTTGGAGTCTGGATGCTGATAATGACCCTCGTTGAAGACTAAGCACAAATGTATTCCCATTCATACCTTTTCAGTAAAAAAGTCAAAATGAGTCAAAAATTATAAATTTCAAACGATTTTGTTCAACAATCGTACTTCATGTTTTTCAAAAACCCCTCTAGCTGTGCTATGGTATATAAAACAACATATATAGTTATAAACAACTCCTTATGTGGAGATTGGCGCACATGTGGCGCAGAACGCAGCTGTGCCGGTGTTGTGTGAATTTAGGACTATGAAACACAGACTCACTAATAGTATTGGGCATGCCTACGAGAGGATTGTGAACGTTCAGCTGATAAAACAGTACTGGCACTGGATTTCATTGGAGTCCAAGTTTGTGACACTGGAAAAGTGTTTAAGACCAGCCAGTCTTTATGAATCGTTTAAAACCGGCCACGTGATGGGTTCTCGACCAATTGGAATGGTTTCAAACTGTCTTAGGTATTTATGAATATTTCATAATACAAACTTTTTTTTGTACAAAAGTCTATTTCGATAATTTCGCTTTGGGTTGGTGTTTTTTTTTTTTGGCAACAGTTGTCCACTGCCTTTTATATCAGATTTCTTGTCTTCATTTCTGACAGGAGCCATCTCTGCTGAACTCCACCCGTCCTGATCTGTCACCTTGCTTTGAGGAGACGGTCCTATCATGGCTGCCTCTCGTCTTCCTCTGGGCCCTGGCGCCGTTCTACTTGTGCTACATGCAGAGGCACGACCGAGGTTGCATCCGGGTCTCCTGCTTGCACAGGACCAAAATGGTATGCATGCCCAATTGGGAATTCCGATGTGATTGGTTGTTGAGGACCAAATTGGTATGCATACCCAATTGGGAATTCTGTTGCGATTGGTGACACAGGACCAAATTGTTATGCGTGCCCAATTGGGAATTCTGTTGCGATTGGTGGCACAGGACCAAAATGGTATGCATGCCCAATTGGGAATTCTGTTGCGATCGGTTGCACAGGACCAAATTGTTATGCGTGCCCAATTGGGAATTCTGATTGATTGGTTGCAAAGGACCAAATTGGTATGCATACCCAATTGGAAATTCTGATTTGATTGGTTGCAAAGGACCAAATTGGTACATGCATGCATGCCCCATTAGGAATTCTGATGTGATTGGTTGTTGAGGACCAAATTGGTATGCATACCCAATTGGAAATTCTGATTTGATTGGTTGCAAAGGACCAAATTGGTACATGCATGCCCCATTGGGAATTCTGATTGATTGGTTGTTGAGGACCAAGTTAGTATGCTTGCCTAATTTAGCCATTTGCGAGTAACCTGTACCCTGCGGGATTTACATTTGAAAAACATCTGGTACACTGACTGGCTCAGAATGCTTGGCACATTTTAACTGTGAATTCTCCAGACCAAAGCCACTGTTGCTAATCACATGATTCGGGGCAAGCTCTTGCATAGTTACGTAAGAAATGCTCAGCACCAATACATTGTTCACAATGGGTGAGAATGGCACCAAGACACCAGACCATGCCGGAGCTGGGGGTAGCTAGCATAAGGCTTGCCCTGAATCACGTGATATAGTAACAGTCCCTTTGGTCGGGAGAATGCAAAGTTAAAACGTGCAAAGCATTGGATTAAGTCAGCGTTGCAGATTTTATTCAAATTTAACTCGCAAATGGCTAAGTGGATATAATGCATTAATTGCTGAAGTTGGAAGGCCTGACATTTTTATCCCACACATAGCAACTTCTGCCAGAAACACAACATCATCAGTCCTGATGATATAAAGCTAGATGGTCCCCTATAGCCCTTTTCACACTAGTCAAATCTCGGTGTTGTCGTAGGGCTGACGCAGGGTTGAAAACATGCATCGTTTCACACTTGAAGAATTTCAACCCTGCGTCAACCCTGCGTCAACCCCGAGATTGATTTTGCCTAGGGTTGAACTCAACCCTGCTCCAGAACGGGGTTGAGATTTTCAACCCGGGTTGAAATTCTTGCCAGGGTTCAAAACAGTAGTAAGTAAGCATGATAAGCTTGATTTGCATGAAACAAGTGTGAAACGATGCGAGGTTGAACGCGGGGTTGAAAAATAAAAAAAAAATCAACCTGGGGCGGCACTGGGTTCGCCCAGGGTTGAGTTCAACCTGGGTTGAGAGGCTCTAGTGTGAAAAGGGCTATACAGCCTGAAAGTGCCCTGCTTGTTACTCTTAACACCGCCCAAACTGTCCCAGCACTCCAAGGAGTAAAATTTAATACAGTGTAGTACAATGTGATTAAAGTGCTTTTGGGTTAAACACTTGCATGTCAAGGAATGCCTTTGATTTTGTTAACTGTTGTTTTCGTTGTCTTTCCAGCTCTTGACTGTTCTTTCGATTATTGTCCCCCTGGTTGAAGTCTGTTTCACAGTGGTTCAGATATTCAGCTCACCCGAGGGGACCGCACCAGTATATCTTGTAACACCAGCAGTTATTACATTGACCATGGCAAGTATAATTCGACCCGTTTCACTGACTGACGTTCAAGAGTCGTGCTAAACAACTTATTCTAAATATTAGATATAACTTTGGTGTATTAGTCAGTTAGGAACTACCTGGTGTGAAAAATTCCGGTGTTAAGAGTTGTTGGGAACGACTCCAGAGTAGGTTCATGAAACATTAGTACAGAAAGTTAGTGAGAGTTTGCGGTAAGGTCAAATAAAAAAAAAAACATGTTAATCGTCTGCGCCTGCTTTCTTTTTGGAGGCGGCCTTCTTTTTCTTTTTTTTTAATTGGAAAAAAAACCCCGAAAAATAGATAAATTTGAAACAGTGTCATCATTTTGGCCTCTTTGTCTGTTGCATCTAGCCCATATAAAGCAGTGGTATGTCATTTCCTGAGTCCAAGTGCAAAAAAAAAGCTGGCGGCCATCTTGAAATATAGCCCAGCTGGTCGTTTTGGAAAATGGGTCTGGCGGCCATTTTGGAAAAAAAAAAAACGGCCTCCTCCTTCCTTCTTTTCAAAGAGGCAGGATGCTAAACTTGTTTTTTTTTTGTTTTTTTGGCCTAACACCATGTGGAAGAACCTATTTTGAGAAGATGTGTGATTCTGGAAAGAACCGGTTTGGTTGTGACACTCGACGTTCCGATCGATTGTCTTCGGGAGAAGAACCAGTATCCTCTGATCGTCTTCAGGATTTCTCCTGATCGGAACGTCGAGTGTACAACCAACCGGTTCTTTTCAGGAGAACCAGACATCTCCTCAAAAAGAGATTCTTCCACATGCTGTTACCACAAACCCGATCACTAGTTTCCACTACCGCCATGCAGACTTTCAAATCTTGCTTACAAAACCAAAGTGTCTGAAACCGAAGATCTATTTTTGGGTCAATTTGTGTTGCTCCAAATACAATTTGTTTACGAGTGCATATCTCTGGAACGTAAGGCTGGGGAAAAAAGCGTCAATATCATTTTTAAACCCTCCTGCTGTTTAAAAGGTCTCAAACAGTCAAAGTTTCCTTCAACTTCCCCTGGCATACTTTTAACAAACCAATGGATCACTTGACCAATATTGACCCAAGTAACAGCATGGCTCCGAATACATGTTTCCATAGGAGGGTTTCAACCACTATGGGTATCTGTTCCTGATGGTATGCAAAAAATGCATCATTTAAAAAAAAATGTATTCACATACAGGGTGGGTCCAAAAAACTGCAAAGATGCGAGGGAGCCTTCTTTTTTTCAAAACCAAGTTGAATTTTTGGACTTTTTAAATTTTGTAAGAACGACATATCCGTTTAAGTAGCCGTGTTTTTAAAAAAAAAAGCAGTTGATTGCATTCACTTTTTGTCTTTTGTGAATCTTTTTACTGCGGTACTCGATTTACGTTTTTGTCCACGAGGCGTCAACAAATTGCATTAGAGCCGTTCTTTCCATGAGGTCTAGAGCTGAGACATGCATTGCCTTGCAGGGTTGGTGGTAAGAAGGCAGAGCTGCAATTGTGTGAAAAATAGAAGATACAGTGACTATAGCATATCCGAGAGAAGCTTTGCATTTATAAACAGAAAGACGGGAAACAGAAAAATAAGGCTTGAGCTAAGATTCAGTCAGTTTTAAATCTGTGTTGTCTATCATGTCTTGTTGTACCGTTTCCGCTCTTATACAAAATTCTGATGCCTCATGGACAAAAACGTAAATCGGGTACCGCACTAAAAAAGGTTCACAAACGGTAAATGAGATCAACTTCATTTTTTCAGACAAGGTTACTAACGAATATGTGATGCGATCAAGCTAATGAGTCGTTTGTCGACCCTGGTCAATTTTGTTTTGACTGTGATGAAAAGAGCACAATCTCAGCATTACTGATGTGAAAACAAGGTTACTAACGAATATGTGATGCGATCAAGCATCGTTCTTATGGAAGGCATTGATCTTTTCCAAAATTTGTACAAAGCAATGAGGCAGTGTTTCTGTTAAGTTTAACAACAGAGAGATGTTTGCTCAAAATGGGAATGATCGTGTTCCTAATTTGTTTGTGTGGAGATATCCGAAGTGCTTTGTTGATTTCAGTATGAAATATGAACAAATGCCAAATGCACTCTCCCAATCATGTACATGTAACTTGCATAACATATCGATTTTTGCCTGCAGCATTCTTGTCACAGTCAACAGAAGACGCTTATGTTAAACCCTAACTCCCTAGCGTCTTTTACTAGGAACTGGACCAATTCCGTCAAGATCCATCAATCACTGTGCGTCCAATACAAAACTGTACATCACATAATGGAATCCACCACTGACGCACTGGTTGACATTCATGGACTTGCTAAACGTGGCTTTTATCACAACAGCAGTACAGGAAGCTAGGCAAAATCAATCGGATACCCCTAGCACTGCTTCAGGCCATTAGGCCCAAGTCCATCATACTCCATCAATATTTAGTCACGCCAGGCCTTCTGGACCAAGTCCCCCAAAATCCAACAAAATGGGGGGATGGATTGTGATGGAGTTATTTCCTAACTCGTTCCTCGACCGTGAATAAAATATATTCTCATGCGCCTCCCTACTGTAGAACACACCTGCAACAGAAAACATGTTAATAATACAGACCTATATTGGGGGAGCACTGATCTTGAGGACAAGCCTGGAGTGCCAATACTGCTCGATGTGAAGAGAAGACGAGTTCGTGGATATCTCGTCACGGTATACTTACTTGTGTATTTATAGCGCCGTGTAAAGACACCTGTAATGGCTACTGAAAAGGGCGAAAAATTTTAGAAACATTAAAATTTTTTGCAAACTTTGCTTCTATGCAAATCCTAAAAACCAGACACAGTTGTACCAATTTAATATCATATCTCACAGATCACCACACCACTTAAGTGTCAATTGAAAATGGCTGCAAAGCTGTGTAAATTTTTGGCACGTCCGAAAGCTTGTGCGTCAAATCGGTAAGTGGTCTTCCACACGTCTTCTACAATGCCTTATGCATGCTTGACCGCACATCCCGGTACATGCAAACACCACATTCCTTTCTATTGTATTCTCCACCCCGTGAGAAAATACATTTGGGGTGGTTTGGGTTAATGGAATTTGTCTTTTAATTGCATCAGATGCTGGTGTTCTTCATCATCCACACCGAGCGGATCCGGGGCAGGCACACCTCTGGAATCCTCTTCTGCTTCTGGCTGTTGCTGGCAGTCTGCTTCGTCCCAGAGTTCAACTCCAAAATCATTCTTGTCTCCGAGGAGGTAACTACAGTTTGCCATGAGAGATGACATGCTGATGACAGAGGTCTTGGCAGTGGAGTCCGTGCCTAAGTGCCACCTCTAAGGCTGTGCATGTTCTGATAATTTAATGTTCAATTAGTCCAACTTGGACTAATATTCGAATACATGCATTCAATTTCGAAATGCAGTGATCAAGTTAAACACGCACTAGCCTAAACTGAACGCCGATCGGGATTTGCGCGCGCGCGCACCTGCGCTTTTCGATAATTGACAAAGAATTTGTTAAAATAATGTAAAGAACAGGTAGCAGAGGCTGAAATTTGACTGATTTTGAAGAAGAAATTTGAGCTAACATGTATTATATCATTGAAGGTCTCAAATCATGCGCGATAGTGGCTTGCAACAAAAGTGTGGCATTTGACAGTAAAACCACACAGTGTTTTTTTTTTCATGCACTCCAGACCGCTCACAATTTTCAAATATTTCAATTGAAAAAAGAAAGAAGGCCATTCGGATATTCGGTTGACAACTGAATATTCAGTATATTCAGCACATCCCTAACCCCCGTACGGATACAAAGAGAGACTAAAGGGGGTCGAGACCCTGAACTTTTGTCACCATACGCCCAGCACTCACACAAACACGATATGGCTTTTGCGTACATTCTGAACAAATTAAACCATGCATAACTTTGCCCCCTACTTGTGCAAACTAGTGTCCCGCACAGGCAGCTCTTAACTTGTGGTTGCAAAGCGCGATCTTCTTTCAATGCAAGAAGTTCATTCCAGTTCCTAGTTTTGTCAGAATTGGATGTGTTCTAGCTACAACAGTTCAAGAACTGTAAATTTTGCATTGAAGACTATGATACAAGACTTTAACGCCTTAGTCAAACTTTACATAAAATACAGGGTGAATAAAAAAAAAGCAGAACACAATGACCTTAAAACCTCTTTCGTCCAAAAATGTGATTTCAAGAATCGTTATCACAATTGTCTTCAAACATCACCAGAGATAAGACCTCAGTTTAAAAGTTAAAAATATTCAACAAAAGTCCTTTTGAAGGCCCGTCTTTTAAAAAAAAAGGTGGATTTTATAAATCATACTCTTTGCCTGAGCAGGGTTGTTAAAAAAGATATTGTGTACTACAGTTGTTAAAGAGGTTGTGGAATGCTCGAAGACATTTCCGTCATTTTTCGGGTATATGTAGCCTAAGGTGTGATGAAATAAAAACGACTATTGTTTCTGTCATGAAATGAGTACAAAGGGTACTTTTGAGAGCTATTTTTCAGGTCCTGTTTCGACCCGAACGTGCAATTTGTGTAAAAGTCGTCGTTGCGGGCAGCAAACAAAACACAGTAAATCGTGACGTAATAAACAGGACTCGTTTATGCTACTCTACATCGGGAGTCCTGTTTATTACGTCACAATTTTTCTGTGTTTTGTTTGCTGCCCGCAACGACGACTTTTACACAAATTGCACGTTCGGGTCGAAACAGGCATGACAGGACTTGAAAAACAGCTCTCAAAAGTACCTTTTGTACTCATTTCATGACAGAAACAATAGTCGTTTTTATTTTATCACACCTTAGGCTACATATACCCGAAAAATGACGGAAATGTCTTCGAGCATTCCACAACCTCTTTAACATTTGTTGAAACAAGTATTCTGTGTCATTTTCTTTGTTGTTCCAAACAGTCAGAACACACAATAATATTTTTTTTGACGAAACAGGTTTTGATGGTCATTGCATTTAAATGGTGATATTATTTGAACAGATTGAGCACTTTTCATCTAAAAGTAGTTTATAGAATTGGTTTTCCACTCATTATTATTTTTGGTGCTACATTTTTCTAAATATGAAATGTATTTTTTGGAGTTTGGGCTCCGCACTTTTTAACTCACCCTGTAGTATTTTTTTTTTTACGGCACAACTTGTGAGAAGATGTGTACTAGTTCGCCACATCACACTGTAGTATGTTAATAGCCCTAAAAGGCTGTAAAAGAGAAGTTTGTTGTTTGAAAAATCAGTGATGTTGACTCAATCTTTTCGGTGTGTCTGCTAACTTGTCTGATGATGGTCAGAGCATATCAACTTAAATCTCAAACACCACTAGTTCTTTTTGTGAGCCACACCTCATTAGAAACAATTACTTCCAACAACGTATCTTAGATTTCTCCCAAAATGTATCGGTTCGCATTCATCAAGTTCCACAATTGTTGGAAATCACTGCTCCAATTTTCTTCTTTCAGACAGATCAGGATATGTTCCGTGTAGTCACTTTCTTCGTCTTCTATGCCCTGGTCCTAGCCCAGCTCGTGTGTTCATCTATAGCAGACGACCTGCCTCTGTATTCCCCTGTCAGATCGGATAGGGTAAGCACCACTATTCTTTTCCTAGCTTTCCATGACGATGGATAGTATTATTATATAATATTGGATGGCTTTGAGTTTGCGGGGTATACCAGAATTTATCTTCAAGTAAACTTGTATCCTCGATCCTGGTCAGTTTTGGGGGCATTTTGTAAAAAGTCGAAATGTTTTCTTTTCTCACTGGATACTGAATGTAATGAGTTGAACTCTTCAAAGAATTCAATTCTGGGCTCTTGGCACCTCGTGTGAACTTTTGAGCAATTTTGGTGATGTTGGATTTTTGGGTGAAAACTGACTTTTTCGATGATGCCGGCTATGGAAAACGTTGAAGTTTTGGGGCATTTTGTAAAAAATCTAAAAGTTTTCTTTTCTCACTGGATACTGAATGTAATGAGTTGAACTCTTCAAAGAATTCAATTCTGGGCTCTTGGCACCTCGTGTGAACTTTTGAGCAATTTTAGTGAAGTTGGATTTTTGGGTGAAAAACTGACTTTTTCGATGATGCCAGCTATGGAAAACGTTGAAGTTTTGGGGCATTTTGTAAAAAATCTAAAAGTTGTCTTTTCTCACTGGATACTGCATGTAATGAGTTGAACTCTTCAGGGAATTCAATTCTGGCCTCTAGGCACCTCGTGTGAACTTTTGAGCAATTTTGGTGATGTTGGATTTTTGGGTGAAAAACTGACTTTTTTGATGATGCCGGCTATGGAAAACGTTGAAGTTTTGGGGCATTTTGTAAAAAATCTAAAAGTTGTCTTTTCTCACTGGATACTGAATGTAATGAGTTGAACTCTTCAGGGAATTCAATTCTGGCCTCTAGGCACCTGATGTGAACTTTTGAGCAATTTTGGGGATTTTGGAATTTTGGGTGAAAAACTGACTTTTTCGATGATGCCGGCTATGGAAAACGTTGAAGTTTTGGGGCATTTTGTAAAAAATCTAAAAGTTTTCTTTTCTCCCTGGATACTGAATGTAATGAGTTGAACTCTTCAGGGAATTCAATTCTGGCCTCTAGGCACCTCGTGTGAACTTTTGAGCAATTTTGGGGATGTTGGATTTTTGGGTGAAAAAACTGACTTTTTCGATGATGCCGGCTATGGAAAACGTTGAAGTTTTGGGGCATTTTGTTAAAAATCTAAAAGTTGTCTTTTCTCACTGGATACTGAACGTAATGAGTTGAACTCTTCAGGGAATTCAATTCTGGCCTCTAGGCACCTCGTGTGAACTTTTGAGCAATTTGGTGATGTTGGTTTTTTGGGTGAAAAACTGACTTTTTCGATGATGCCGGCTATGGAAAACGTTGAGAAGTTTTGGGTGCATTTTATAAAAATTCTAAAAGTTGTCTTTTCTCACTGGATACTGAATGTAATGAGTTGAAGTCTTCAGGGAATTCAATTCTGGCCTCTAGGCACCTCGTGTGAACTTTTGAGCAATTTTGGTGATGTTGGATTTTTGGGTGAAAAACTGACTTTTTCGATGATGCCGGCTATGGAAAACGTTGAAGTTTTGGGGCATTTTGTAAAAAATCTAAAAGTTGTCTTTTCTCACTGGATACTGAATGTAATGAGTTGAACTCTTCAGGGAATTCAATTCTGGCCTCTAGGCACCTCGTGTGAACTTTTGAGCAATTTTGGAGATGTTGGATTTTTGGGTGAAAAACTGACTTTTTCGATGATGCCGGCTATGGAAAACGTTGAAGTTTTGGGGCATTTTGTAAAAAATCTAAAAGTTGTCTTTTCTCACTGGATACTGAATGTAATGAGTTGAACTCTTCAGGGAATTCAGTTCTGGCCTCTAGGCACCTGGTGTGAACTTTTGAGCAATTTTGGAGATGTTGGATTTTTGGGTGAAAAACTGACTTTTTCGATGATGCCGGCTATGGAAAACGTTGAAGTTTTGGGGCATTTTGTTAAAAATCTAAAAGTTGTCTTTTCTCACTGGATACTGAACGTAATGAGTTGAACTCTTCAGGGAATTCAATTCTGGCCTCTAGGCACCTCGTGTGAACTTTTGAGCAATTTTGGTGATGTTGGTTTTTTGGGTGAAAAACTGACTTTTTCGATGATGCCGGCTATGGAAAACGTTGAAGTTTTGGGTGCATTTTATAAAAATTCTAAAAGTTGTCTTTTCTCCCTGGATACTGAATGTAATGAGTTGAACTCTTCAGGGAATTCAATTCTGGCCTCTAGGCACCTCGTGTGAACTTTTGAGCAATTTTGGAGATGTTGGATTTTTGGGTGAAAAACTGACTTTTTCGATGATGCCGGCTATGGAAAACGTTGAAGTTTTGGGGCATTTTGTAAAAAAATCTAAAAGTTTTCTTTTCTCCCTGGATACTGAATGTAATGAGTTGAACTCTTCAGGGAATTCAATTCTGGCCTCTAGGCACCTCGTGTGAACTTTTGAGCAATTTTGGAGATGTTGGATTTTTGTGTGAAAAACTGACTTTTTCGATGATGCCGGCTATGGAAAACGATGATGTTTTGGGGCATTTTGTTAAAAATCTAAAAGTTTTCTTTTCTCCCTGGATACTGAATGTAATGAGTTGAACTCTTCAGGGAATTCAATTCTGGCCTCTAGGCACCTCGTGTGAACTTTTGAGCAATTTTGATGATGTTGGATTTTTGGGTGAAAAACTGACTTTTTCGATGATGCCGGCTATGGAAAACGTTGAAGTTTTGGGGCATTTTGTAAAAAATCTAAAAGTTGTCTTTTCTCACTGGATACTGAATGTAATGAGTTGAACTCTTCAGGGAATTCAATTCTGGCCTCTAGGCACCTGGTGTGAACTTTTGAGCAATTTTGGGGATGTTGGATTTTTGGGTGAAAAACTGACTTTTTCGATGATGCCGGCTATGGAAAACGTTGAAGTTTTGGGGCATTTTGTAAAAAATCTAAAAGTTTTCTTTTCTCCCTGGATACTGAATGTAATGAGTTGAACTCTTCAGGGAATTCAATTCTGGCCTCTAGGCACCTCGTGTGAACTTTTGAGCAATTTTGGAGATGTTGGATTTTTGGGTGAAAAACTGACTTTTTCGATGATGCCGGCTATGGAAAACGTTGAAGTTTTGGGGCATTTTGTTCAAAATCTAAAAGTTGTCTTTTCTCACTGGATACTGAACGTAATGAGTTGAACTCTTCAGGGAATTCAATTCTGGCCTCTAGGCACCTCGTGTGAACTTTTGAGCAATTTTGGTGATGTTGGATTTTTGGGTGAAAAACTGACTTTTTCGATGATGCCGGCTGTGGAAAACGTTGAAGTTTTGGGGGTGTTTTATAAAAATTCTAAAAGTTGTCTTTTCTCACTGGATACTGAATGTAATGAGTTGAACTCTTCAGGGAATTCAATTCTGGCCTCTATGCACCTCGTGTGAACTTTTGAGCAATTTTGGGGATGTTGGATTTTTGGGTGAAAAACTGACTTTTTCGATGATGCCGGCTATAGAAAACGTTGAAGTTTTGGGGCATTTTGTAAAAAATCTAAAAGTTGTCTTTTCTCACTGGATACTGAATGTAATGAGTTGAACTCTTCAGGGAATTCAATTCTGGCCTCTAGGCACCTCATGTGAACTTTTGAGCAATTTTGGAGATGTTGGATTTTTGGGTGAAAAACTGACTTTTTCGATGATGCCGGCTATAGAAAACGTTGAAGTTTTGGGGCATTTTGTTAAAAATCTAAAAGTTGTCTTTTCTCACTGGATACTGAACGTAATGAGTTGAACTCTTCAGGGAATTCAATTCTGGCCTCTAGGCACCTCGTGTGAACTTTTGAGCAATTTTGGTGATGTTGGATTTTTGGGTGAAAAACTGACTTTTTCGATGATGCCGGCTATGGAAAACGTTGAAGTTTTGGGGCATTTTGTTAAAAATCTAAAAGTTGTCTTTTCTCACTGGATACTGAACGTAATGAGTTGAACTCTTCAGGGAATTCAATTCTGGCCTCTAGGCACCTCGTGTGAACTTTTGAGCAATTTTGGTGATGTTGGTTTTTTGGGTGAAAAACTGACTTTTTCGATGATGCCGGCTATGGAAAACGTTGAAGTTTTGGGTGCATTTTATAAAAATTCTAAACGTTGTCTTTTCTCCCTGGATACTGAATGTAATGAGTTGAACTCTTCAGGGAATTCAATTCTGGCCTCTAGGCACCTCGTGTGAACTTTTGAGCAATTTTGGAGATGTTGGATTTTTGGGTGAAAAACTGACTTTTTCGATGATGCCGGCTATGGAAAACGTTGAAGTTTTGGGGCATTTTGTAAAAAATCTAAAAGTTGTCTTTTGTCACTGGATACTGAATGTAATGAGTTGAACTCTTCAGGGAATTCAATTCTGGCCTCTAGGCACCTGGTGTGAACTTTTGAGCAATTTTGGGGATGTTGGATTTTTGGGTGAAAAACTGACTTTTTCGATGATGCCGGCTATGGAAAACGTTGAAGTTTTGGGGCATTTTGTAAAAAATCTAAAAGTTGTCTTTTCTCACTGGATACTGAATGTAATGAGTTGAACTCTTCAGGGAATTCAATTCTGGCCTCTAGGCACCTCATGTGAACTTTTGAGCAATTTTGGAGATGTTGGATTTTTGGGTGAAAAACTGACTTTTTTCGATGATGCCGGCTATAGAAAACGTTGAAGTTTTGGGGCATTTTGTTAAAAATCTAAAAGTTGTCTTTTCTCACTGGATACTGAACGTAATGAGTTGAACTCTTCAGGGAATTCAATTCTGGCCTCTAGGCACCTCGTGTGAACTTTTGAGCAATTTTGGTGATGTTGGATTTTTGGGTGAAAAACTGACTTTTTCGATGATGCCGGCTATGGAAAACGTTGAAGTTTTGGGGCATTTTGTTAAAAATCTAAAAGTTGTCTTTTCTCACTGGATACTGAACGTAATGAGTTGAACTCTTCAGGGAATTCAATTCTGGCCTCTAGGCACCTCGTGTGAACTTTTGAGCAATTTGGTGATGTTGTTTTTTGGGTGAAAAAACTGACTTTTTCGATGATGCCGGCTATGGAAAACGTTGAAGTTTTGGGTGCATTTTATAAAAATTCTAAACGTTGTCTTTTCTCCCTGGATACTGAATGTA